GAGAATTTTAGGATTTCATGTCTATTGTAAGTTACTATTGTAAAAACTTGCTTCAAGATTGGACTTTGACTACTAAAGGCGCAGAAAAATCTAGCTCATTATCCTGAATATTGTCTCAAATTTTTTGGCAATAAAATTCTCAAGTTCTTATGGACTAACCGAAGGCGAATCATATACTTCTTGTGTTGAATCTATCTGTACTTTCTGATTCTCATGATTTTTCAGTGTAATCTATGTAAGATCAAACTTAAACTTAGCCGAAGCCAAAACAAGATAGAGTAAAATCATATTTACAAAAAATATGCTAATAAACTTCACTTTTGTTCATTATGAAAATCAAAACAATTATCATAATGCACTATAAAATAAAAATGCACTCAAACTATAAAATCTTTCGAAGTAAATATTTTGATAATGCATTAGGTGAATTGAATAAACTAATCACTCTTGATTATTTTCATATTGTTATAAAAATTTCACAAACAATTGAAAAAAATTCACACATTGTACACACAACAATACTAAAGATAAATGGATGAGCACAATGATCAACATCTATAAAAATCTCTAAGTCTTTAATGAAAGATTGATCTAAGAGAATCATCAAAAGCTTTTGCTATATATTGTTAAAAGATTTGAATTTTGATGTTTAGAATTTGACTAGATTTTAAACCTAAATCCTAATCTAGCTAACTTGAATTACCATAAGACTTACACATAAAATGAAATATGATATTCATGTGTTTCAATTTGCTATTCATCATTTGATTTGCAACAAGATATAATGCATTTGGACTATTAGATAAATATTGACAAATCCTTTCCATAATATTTTAATGCTAAAATTTTTCAATCAAACAAAATTGTTTTGAGCTTTTGCAATTATATATTTGGCTTTTGTGATTAAGTGAGGAATTTCTTTTTTATGAATTTATTATTAGTGCATTTATCATCAAATATAAAGACATTATTTAGTAAATCATCAAATTAAAAATCATAAAAATGTTCTTGAGTTAATTTTCATGATTGAGCATTACAAAAATGTTCAATGAAATTTTCTTGGATTTGAAATGAATTTGTTCAACTTGTCTATAACTACCATACACATAATGCATATCATTAAATACAATAATATCATTCATTGCGTTGTCATACAATATTGATGAAATCTTTATCTTTTGAATAGCATTCATTGAACATGAAACAACAAAAAAGCTTAAAATATGATGAGAAATGAATACAAATTTATTAAAAAAACCTGCCATATTAGATGTGTAAAATAAACATTAGATATACTCGTTTTGATTTAATCCACTTTTTTTAAGTTTTTATAAATATATATTTATAATATATTCTTGAATTAATTCAAATATTTCATCTTGAATGCAAATTTTAATTAATCCTTGCATCTATCAATATCAAATTGATTTATACCCTGAATTATTATATAAATCACATGGATATTTGATAAAAAAATGAATTTTTTAAAATTATTCATCTTTATATATACACACATAAATTTTATAGATGAAACTTCTTATGCTTTTTTGATCTCATTAAATTTTATAGTGATTCTAGCAATGTATTAAACATGATTTTTTTTCTAATTTAAGTCAAATGATAATAGTATGTATATTACTTACTAAATGTTGTAGCAAGATACATTTGATTCACAATTAATTGTAGACTATTTTGTCACTGATAAAATTTTATTATAATTCATAACTATCTCTTGGATTAATTTTCAAACCATCATACCATTTTTTAATTACAGAGATAATTTTTACTTTGAAAGCAACACTAGCTTTCATATATTGTCATCAGTGAGCAATTACATCTCATTATTCATAATAATAATCTAATTAGATGTATTTAAAATTTTCATAGCTTTTATTATAAGATCAACACACTACGATCATCATATCAGATATTAGTACATAATATCTAAGAAGAAATGAATCCATATGATTTTCATATCTTTCTCAAGCTCTATTAATTTGATTTTATGAATAGCTAGTAGATAATTTTTGTGGATATCTATCATTTCCTATAGTGTTTTGAGAACCATTAACAATCATTTGCTACTTCAATTCCTATAAATTAGAAACTACTCCATCTATTTTAGAGCATTTCCACATTATGTTGCAATCCGTGACAAGTGGAGTGAAAGCTGCAATTTCATATCTGATAGATTTGTCAATTTGATCTTCAAAACAAAGTGTTTTGGTTTGTTTTGCCTTCAAGTACAAACTTTCTTCCTCACATCTATGATACTTTCCTTTATCATAATTGTTGTTTATTCTTTGAGATTTTAATGAGTAAGATAGAAAAGAGATTGACTACAAAATATAACTATCTTGCAAGACAATATGCAAAGATTGATGAACAAGATGACATGGAGAAATTTGGCAAGATGAAGTATGTGTTTAACTCTCTTGATTCTTTTGATTCTTTAGTTCTTTCCGTTGCAAATTCAATCTTTGAAACCTTGCCGAAGAGGTTCAAATTGTATATTGTTGATAAATCAAGCAGAAAATATTTGATATTGCCAACAAGAACATCGGATTTTACTGAATCTGACATTAAATAGCCCTTTGAAAGATTTGTTTACCAGTTTGGCAAGTCTTGCATTGAAATATTTGAAGTAGTGAAAAACCAAACATTCGATCTAGTCATGACCCTGCACCTTTCCAGTTTATTTCACTTCCGCTGCTACTAGTAGTTTTCTTGTATTCTAACTATCTCATAGAAGTATTTTCGTATCCAACTTTACCAGAAAGACATCTAAAACAAGAAGAAAATTAGAAGCTTGATGAAACACTCCCACGAGAAATTCAAATGGTCTTTAGAAGAGATAAAAATTATCAAAGATTGCCAAGATTCCAAGATGAAATATCCTGCTGATATGAGCTATATCTATGAAGCAAAAGAGAAGGATTCTCCCAAATATTTTACGCCACATAAAAACTTCATTCAAATCAACTTTTCCCTACACAGTACTCAATTTTTTCCTACTTCATGTCACACTCAAGTCAAGTCAGTCAAATTTTGCTCCAAAACTAATTGTTAGAAATTCGTGTGAGAAAATACAAACATAGAGCCTACAAGAAAAACTTGTTTTTAATCCCTTCAAACTATATTCCAAAAACATAACAAATTATTTTATGATACTCGAATTTGAATCTTTGATAGTTTGGATCAACTCTTTTACATAATGATCTACTAATCAACTCTAAATGATTGATGTTAATCCAACAAGAACCATCAAAATCTAAGATAACTCATTTAGTTCATTCAAATATCACAATACATAAAAAAAAAGTACTGATTAGATGATTCCACATTACATTACATGAACAAACATCATGATTACATGATTACATCTTGACATGAACAAACAGTGTACATGGATCATAATTCTTCAGTTTCAACTACAAATCTTATACATTTTTAAGTATATAGTGCTTGCTAAGTTTTTTGATTATCAACATGGTGACTTCTAGTAGCTAAGAGCACTTTCTAGTATTAGTTTGGGAATTATGACTATTGATGACTTGGTATCATATTGAAATTCTTATGCTGAAATTCTTAAATATTTTATGTTTATTGTCTTAACAATAGTGGTTTAGATTTCAATAAGAAAATTAATTATGGAAATCCGGGGAAATTCAAAACACTTGATGGGACCCTACAGGTTTCATTTTACCCAATGGGATCCCATCAACGGCCTTTGCAGTCCATCGTCAGTGATGTTCCAATACGACCTGGGGTTATTTTGGGTAAGAAGATGAAGTCCCAACATAATCACATCTGGAGTACTTCAGACTCATGATGTTCCAATACAATCGGGGGACATTTTGGGTAAGAAGATGGAGTCCCAGCATAATCACATTGGGAGTACTTCAGACTCATGATTGTGCCCGTCGCTTTGTCATACATGACTACTAACTATGAACTCATGGTGCCCGTACCTTTTGAGTTAATTGATTGGAGCCCATGATTCCACTTTCTGGTTCAATCGGATTTTCAAAATCTTATTGAATCAAATTTTGAAACCGGAATGCATGAAAAAAAACAGAAAGCCAGACATCTGGCCGGCCAATCCTGATGGCTAATTGATCAAGTGATAGGAACCAAAAAAAAAAGGAAAGCTCTGTGTATCATTCTTCTTTTGCATCTTGTCTTGTTTCGTGTCTAACCTTAAATGCTTGCATTAGGGTATGAATGTTCCATGGCTGCACCGGTGCTCTAAGTGACAAGCAAGTAACGGGTCGGAAGATTGCTACTATTCATGTTCCCGTCACTGGCTATTGAAACTTTGATTGGAATAATACTCAAGGTGGGCTGTATGGCCGTAGAATGGGGTAAAACGAAACCTGTCGGATTTAATCAAGAGTTTTGAGTTTACCAAAATGCCATCAAGTAATATCCTCAGGTTTCAAAATGGCGAATAGATAAGCAAATTTTAACAAAAGAGATTTTCACAATGTTAGTATGGATTTAGATATGGTTGTAATAAATAAAAAATTCAGAGTTTAGAATTGTATAGATTATTGCACCTTGAATTTATTGTTTTATTTTTAATTCAAGTATTTAACTTTCAAAAAATGATTCTTAGGTTTAGTTGTCCCACATGCATACAAATGTCAATTTAAGCTACAATTATAGCCTTCAATAATTTTCAACTTCACTATAATTATCTAATCGTAATTTGTTCGAATTTTTTTCAGCATTTAGGCCCATGAAGTTAAATATTCAAAACAAAAATTCTCGTTTGCCAAGTCATTCAACATTGTCAGAAACACTCGTTCATATAAAGACGACCAGAAATCCGCCAAACTATACGAGGTACACGACAAGAGACGGCACGTAAAGGAAAGAACTTTTACAAGTCCAGAACTTGAGTGACAACCATCATGGAAGCGCGTATCAATCAAGCAGGTGCAGCGGTTCATGATGACAAAGCTCAGACATGTGACACAGGATGACAAGAAATAATGCCTGGAAGTGTTGGAACATATGATAAAGCCGATTAAGATTGAGTGGTGTTCAACATCGATACAGAGAAGTAAATAGTGCTGTACAGGATCATCGAAACATGTCACAGGATTGCGATCCTTGGGAAAGCTATTTTGAGACCTTCAATGACATGCATTTTCGGAGCCATGATTTCAAGCATAATTATGATTAAGTGTCCTTCAGCGTAGGTCACACATGCTATCAAAGTTGATCACTTGCAACCCTCTTCCAACTACGGCAATGTGATATTTCCCCCTGCGCCAACAGATTACATGTTCAGAGATATACAGCGAATAAAATCTTCTGATAATTAGCAACAATAATAATTCTTCCATGTCATAGTAAAGGAGAAACCAGATGAGATGTCAAACTTACAGCGGATTACTGCTGACGTGTAAAGAAGCAGCCTCAGGAGTGTCTATAACACAAGACATACACTCCACCAAAGGACAATCAGATTCTTGGCCTTCTGAATCCACGACGATCGACTGAAAACGAGTCGTCTGCTCCATACAAAACTCGGTCTTGATTTTCCAGCATCTTAGACGTTGATCCAGTCCAGTACTGAACACCCAGGATCCATCTGTCCATATTCCTGAAAACCCCAGGATAGAAACCCGTCAAGGTCAACATACTACCTCTTGATTAAAAAGAGTAGTAAGTTCTGGTAAGAAGGAAAAAAAGTTTGCTTCAATCATTAATTCGCTGCCAAATGATGTTAGACAAAGAGAATTACCCTTGACAGCAGAATTGTGAGCACAGGCGATTGTACTGCGACTCAAGCACTGCAAGACCAGAGACGTCTGCTGCAACGCCTCTCCTAAAGCCACACGAAAATATTTGTTAAAACTTCAAATCGGAGCAAGATGTGAATATGGTCGTGAAACAGAAGATACTGTTCATCAGGAAGGAGCCTAACATAATCCTACATTATGTGATGGCCATTTGTTCACGTTCAAGCAGATAAGCAAATTTTCTTGGAAGGGAATTAATTCTACTACCTTGTGAATCTTCCGCTTCTCTGTTCATAAACTTGAACGTTGTCAGATGTATTGCTTGGTCATCTCCACCACTGATCACCATGTAAACCAGTTCTGATGTGCCGGACCCTTCGTCTCCAGAATTTTGTAACCTCGCTATGCTCATGCAGTTTACCCCTGATTGATGTGGAGCTACGATTTCTTGAAGAAAGGACAATACGGGGGTAGCTGGAATGTTTTGTAAATTGATCGAAGTGTCATGTGCTTGTGCACCAAACAGTTCATCAGTATCAGACCTTACACAATCTGTCGGAAGAGACGTAAGCGTGTCATGTGCAAACTCGCTTACTCCGCATGAGGTAGAAACTTGCATTGCAGATTCAATATTCTCATTCGGATCATCCCCTTTCAGCTTCCCCAATTTGGCTTTAGATTTCTTGGCCAACTTGAGTTCCTCCCTGGTCTTTCTACGTCTACCACCCTGACTACCTCGCCCTGTTAATGGACGTGAGACACTCACAACGGACTCTTGCGTATCGAGGCCGCCGGAATTCATGTAGTCAGCTACGGCACAGGTGACGTCCCAAAAAGCTATGTTCCCATTCGTTGCTCCAGTCAGAATAACGTATGCATCACCGCTGCCTGAAAAGAATGTGTACAATTGATATGACATTTTCTGATCGATGGAAGTTAACCATGGTTCAATGGTTAAACTGTCAAAGAGTAGATTGTTTCAATACTGAGATCCAACAGAACATAAGTCGTCTGCGCGATCCTACCTTGAGATCGACAGAACGAGGTACTTACACGTACAGTCAAAGGACAGATTATATCTGCAATTGTCTATAACGGGACTTACCTGACTGTTGGCTCGACAACGGAGCGATGATGTGTTCTATAGTAAGGACAGGAGCCTCTTGATAATCCAGAGTCGCAACCTCATTCCTGCAGGCAGCATTGGAGAGCCGTTCATACACTCCACATGCACGGAAATTGTACAGAAACTTGCAAAAGATATCAAACGATATAAAAAACACTCTAGGCGTTATGTGATAAAAAGAAGAAAAGTAATTGGAAAACACCAAATATATGCTCGCACCAGATAAGCATAAAGTATGTCACTTGTCAACCTGACTGATGCATCCACTGAGCATTTTGCACAACAGTATCGCTTCAAGGTATCATACACAGGTCAAAGTTGCACCAGGTTATGTTCTTTGCACGAATTCAGGTAGTGCATGATTGTACGTCCTGGATACCAAAGTACACGAATGACCTTAAAAGAAGCGACGTAGAAAGCAGGGATGTGAAGTCAAGGGCAATAAAAAAATTACCAAGACCGAGTTGCCACATGGAAGGCGTGGAGGCTTATTGCAGCATGAGAACTTGCTGTCACGACGAAACACACAACCTTCCTGCAAGAGTGTACAGGAGAAATGAGGAAACAAATCCATCATTGACACTCTCCATATTGATGCTACGTTATTTACTGCTTCTGCGGCATATCGTCCTGAAATGAGTCACAGAGGACCTTTCAACCCGACGTTGTAGAAGAAGGCGTACATACAGTGGGGTTGAGTTTTTTACCGAGTGATGGCACATCTGACTGCGAAGGCTGTCATGGCCAGATAGCGATGATCATCATCGTCCACCTTCATGGCAATACCTGTGTCTCCCTTTTCATCATCATCTTCAGTTGCCAGCTGAGTAACAAGGTTACTCAGATTTTTAAACTCAGCTGAGCTATCCTCCCCGTCACGGGAGGACGCCGGTAAGCGTTTCCTCTGGGGCATTCGGGTACTAAGCCACTGGGAAGTAAAGTTCGAACTGTTAAAAGCAATTACGTCTTGAAGATTCTCATAAGCTGAGGGTGGAGTATGGCCTGTCTTCTCCTTTCCAACATAAGGCTCTTCCCCATCCAAGGTTTCAGGTAACCAATCAAGAAGCCAGCATGTCAAAACCTCCTTGGCACCAGCTGAAAAAAGGAATTGTCTTGTGTCACTTCTTCCACCATCTCCGGAACAAGATTCAAGTCTTTCACCTGGATCCCGAGTAAGGTCTAAACCTTTACCGAGAGAATGTATCTTATCTACTAAGGTCAAAGACCTGACAGCTGATCCACCGACATGATCTCCAAGTACCGAGTTTGCATCCAGCTGTTCCTGCTTGGCCTCCAGATAGCTGTGAAACATGTGGACAGACATATACACCCATAAGAAGTCATCTTTCTACCAATATTTGAGGAAGACCTGGAAACTACGTCCGTCTTGTCCATTCATATACATAAATAATAGTCAAGCCTGGTGATTTCATATGGGTTGCTTAGTGATTGGATTTTGTTGAGTACCTTTTCATGGTCAAATCTTCCTAAAAGGACAGACAACGCACGGTGATTCTACCTGTTGGACCTTGTAACTCGTACGTGAGAAGTGGATGAGCTTAAAAGAATCTCAAAGAGTAAAGCATTTGATACCTGGAAATTCTAACAGTTCCATCTTCAGCTCCGGTGGCTATCATAACACTCTGGTCGATTGCTGCCTGTGCTCCTACACAACGAAAGATCTGAACAGAGTTGATCTCCTTCCCATGGAACTGACCACGGAGGGATTGAGTTGCTACGTCCAACTCTGCCTTTGCAAGAGCAGCTCCAATGGAGTTGATCCAATGTCGATGCACTTGGATAACTTGGCCCTATAAAGCAGAAGGAACAAGTGAGAATTCGACCAACAAGATAGACAAAGAGGTCACAAAGATGTCAACTTGAAGGCTAGAACAGCAGGGAAGTGTGCCAACTCTCTACTCAAAATGATCTGGAGAAAAGCCCATAAATCCATGTATGAACACAATACACAACACAACCTAGTAATTCTACCCAAGATCTGCAATGTTTGGGAGTTAAATCGTCGACGACAAACTAAATTACAAACGTAAGTAATCAGATGTATAACAATATCAGAAAATGATTAATCTCACCTTAACAAACACAAAAGCATGTTGAAAGTCAGGCATCTCTCCAACAATATAAGAAAAGGGCCTCCTCCATCCTCCGCATGTTACCCTCAACAGCTGTGAGATTGGCAGGTTAGCATCGTTCGGATACTCGCGATACATGTCTAAGGTAGACCTGAGCATAATCAACATAATGAGCCATCTAACTGAAACATGGTTGATCTCCAAAAGCTGCTAATTGAGATTTTGATGCGACTCCATGGTTTTGGTATTACTCATCGTTTGACACTATGTCCAGTAAACAGGTCAGGTAGCCTAGTGAAAAATTCCGCAACCATGCTTGATCATGGGCAATGAAAATGTTAAAACATGATCTCATAACTTGAATATATATTTAGCTCACATGACGTGAGTTAACCAACCTCGCTCTTGTGAGTCGTGTCCCACAACAGGAAGTCACTGCCAGTGAAACCAACTGCAATTTTCCTTTCCAAATTTGTCCAATTGGGTGCACCATTTGTGTGTTCCAAGCACTCCAACATCGACACTGCAGCCACCTTTTCGATTCCTGAGCAGGAAAGCATTTGAGGAGCCACGGTAGCAGCCACATGACTTTCAAGATGAAATCTACAAACACACCCATCTCTGCCAGTCTGCTCACATCCAGACCAAGTCAGCATGTCAATGTCTACAAAGTGGCGCATATTATTCTACGACAGTTTGTGAAGCGCACGGGCAAAAATTCCACAAATCTTGACATCAAGAAGATAATAACACACATGAGGAGCTGAATGATCTTAAGAACAACATTCTTTACCCGCGGATTCCAGTTGAGACCTATAATTGAATTAGCTTAGGTTGACCAACTGAGTTAGAGAAAAAACGGAAGGATTGTAACATCGTTTGCCCTAGTCATCTGATTCTTGACAGAGCAAGGTCAGACTGTCAGGACCGAGGACACCACAGCAGAGTTGTGTACATCTACTGTTCTGTAAAGATCACAGAACTACCTACTCACATTGAAGAAAGATACAAGGACATCACTGCCTCAGTTACGACTGCAAACTCACCGAGAGTATCTTAGCTTGTTCCCCAGACTGCTTAGGAACAAAAGAGACATGTGTGACAGCAGATATACCATGGGCACCCTTGAAAACGGCCACGCTCTGCAGTTCTAAGGGAGTCTCACTTGAACTGTGTAATAAGTGTCGTTTATCTTCACGATTTTCAAGTATATTCCTCGGGAAAGAGAATACTGTCAAGCTTCCCTGCTTCCCTCCACACACTATGAGCTGCAAAATCATGACAGAGTTTTCCACGAAAATTACAATAATACGGATCAGATCCTGGTCCAACCAACCTGCATATAAGAGATGACCTTTGAAGTACTCATTCTTGTTTACATCTATAGATGGAAAATTTACCTGCTGAGTGGGACATACATCCATGCAGACAACGCGTCCATACGAACATTTTCCCACTGCTACCAACACAGGTGTGTCTTTTATCTTCTTTTCAGCAACTTTTGCGTCGTCATTTGCTCTTGTGTCGGGAGACCTGTTGCTGGCGCTGTCTCCGTGATTCATATCACTCAAACGCCACATGAGGAAGGCGCCTTTAGGATCTGTTGTAAAAACAAATCTGCCAAAGCACAAGTTCTACAGGGAATTAAGATTAATCTTCAACAATATACGAAAAAGGCAAAGAAGAATATGGAAGTGAAACTTCAATAGTAGAGTCTGCCTTGATGAGTTAGAAACGCACGTAAAAATATCATCTTGAAGGTCTTCTAAGAACAAGTATGTGACCCCACTCATAAAAAAGAAGCAAAATCAATTTAAAAACTGCAGTGCTAAGCAATAGATCGAGACTTGGAACGTGGAGAGCTGACCTTCCTTCCAAGGATTTACACCAGAAAACCCCAAGCAGTTGACGCTCCTTTTCAGCGGCCCATGTATAGCGCCAACCACAATGCGTATGACCTCCAGTCTTTACTAGGACAACAGTCACATTTCCTTTCCCGTCACCTACTACGACCATATCGCCGCTTTGATGGTAGTCTTCGTCACGCAGGTCTTCGTTCTTCTTTGACTTTGATTGTACCAGGACATCCATGCATACAACTGGTGCTCCCAGGTTGTCTACAAGTGTTGTCCAGCCAGGCTCATGCTTTTGTGATAGTTGAACATGATACACATACCCTTGGTTGGTACCAATATAGAGTGAGGACTGATCACTTAGCCTCATACAACGCACATATTCACTCTTGCTGCAAAAAGATGAACAAAATGCAAAAGATCTTCGTTAGGATGTGAAGAACTCAACCAACTGCGATAACCTTTACGATTATTTTTTGTATACCAGCTTAAACTTTAGCCTCAAGCCTTTGGTGACAAGAATAAACACATCTTATATGAACTTATATGAACGAGTGAAGCTACTAGCAGCTGAACATCCAGGATAATCAGTCTAGCATCTTTACGGAGAATCTCCCAGACTTTCCACAGTCGAAACAGATCAACTGCCGAGCTATATAGTTCTGAGTTGCAGTATGCAGCAGGAGGTGAATGATAATATTTAATCCTCCATACTCTGAGCAGTAACCCTCATGTAAATCTTGATATATCTCTGCTCTAACAACCTTCGTTCGTGACCGTGTTAAAGCAGTGTTTAATCCTCCATATTATAAGCATTACCCTCATTAAAGTATTGATATATGTCTGTTCTAACAACCTTTGTTCATAACCGTGTTATGTTGGTCATCTTGAATGCACACCTATCCAGATACCCAGATCCTTTCACCGTAGCATCTGACCACACAGGATCAATACTAAAGACCTCTTGCTTGGACTGAGAACCTCTTGCATTCGAGTCGATGTGTCGGTCCAAAACACCGTTGTCAATTCTTTGTGACCACTTATCCAAAGACTGAATCTTGATAGAAGAATCAGCACCAGCAGTCACGACAACGTTCAGATCTGGATCATAGACACAACGCCAAATTCCTCGACCCCTGCGTCACAGATAACACAACAATAGATGTTGTCTTATACACTAATCTAGTAATGTAGATACTTTTTTAATTTAAAAACATAGACAACTTGAAGGTATTTCTAGCTTACAAGAACGTATACCCGAGTTGTAGCCACAAAATCTTCTTGTGTCTATTATGTTCTGGAAATTATGATAAGCCTATAAAAAAAAAGGAAAAAAAAAAATGTACAATTGAACAGAAGCTTGAGAACAGAACATGCATGTGCCTTATCATGAATGAAAGTGCTTACTGGTGGCCCTTCAGAGTCGTCAGACAATTTCCATCTGTCGTCCATATACGGCATGTACAGTCTTCGCTTGCTGTAATCAACAGCTAGGCCCAACTCATACAACCCACCCATGATGAGTTGAAGTCCAAAAGGCTATTACAGTTGTATTCTCATGGATACGCAAAGCATGACTCCAACAATTAAAGTTCTCACCTTTTCTGAAACATAGCAGTCCCACAAACGGGCTCCGTGTCCATAAAGCACCGGGCCAACCTTCACAGGCAGAACCCACTGATCACCAGTACTAATATCTCTACCTCCACTGTGCCAAACACGTGCACTGCAATCCACGGTTGCCAGAATGAACATCAATGGTTCAAAGGGCCCATGGAATTATAACATTGAAGCATTATCATAAAAGCCGTTTCAGCATGTCATATCCACGCCCCTTCTTCTCCTATCTGAGCTGTATTTTTATGGGTATCACGCTGGAAATGGCAAAACATAATCAGCCAGCCAGTTACAAAAACACTCAGAAGGCCAAGACCGAATCAGAAATTTGAGAGCGAACAGTAAACATAGGAAGAACCAACCTCCTGTCATCAGACACAGAAACTAAGGTAAGACCATCAATTGCCCACGTCAATCGATATATCGAACCTTCGTGACCGGCAAGCGTCTGCAAGGGTTCGACAACTTCTTCAATTGCAGTTAAGGGTTCTGAGCATCTATGGGTGGGTACTCCTTGCAGCACCTGAGCTTCTCTTTGAGCCGTTAAACGCCTTGAAGAATCCTCTACCTCTGCAACTTGGCGACCCACTCTCCAAACAAGAACCTGTCGCAGAATCGACGGCAGAGGCAGAGTGAGGAGACCGATTGATGGTAAAGGTATTAAGTTGGTAAACAGTGAATCCTAGTCATTACCATGGCAAGTGCAGAAGGTTGTGGAATATGTATGCTATGGAACATTGAAGCCTCTGTTACTCATTCTCCTGAGCTTTTTGCAGGTCAAATTGCTTTAGGCAGATTAAGTACACGCCCACCTCGTTGAATATAGTGCCGACGCCAGCATGCAGGGTCTCTGGTGAATCACCCCACAGTCTCATTGAATACAGCAGTAACCTCTCTGCGACATATTGTGGTGTACATCTTATCAGAAGTTGATGTATTACGATGTATCGGTTTATTCGGAACCATGATCGTTTGACTAAATGTTATCTTGGCTTGAATAAAAAGTGGAACGAGAGTCTTCTCTCGGATGACAGACAACAACTTCATCCATACAGCTTGAGCAGACATGGTAAAGGTACTGAAATGATTATGAAACTTAGAGTGGCGGAGATTTCGAATGATACTTCTTCAATCCAACGGGAACTTTTGGCTCAAATTTACGTAATCATTATACGTGCTACTGTAACTGATAATTATCCAAAGATCCTAGAAAAAGTTTCAAGTGCTAAGGAAAGTAAGAAGGCATCGGGCTTAAGCAAAGTTCAGTCATTCTCGGACAACTTGACAACTTGACAACTCCTAGTCTCATCGGGTTTACCTGAACATTCAACTCGATAGAGAATGGCAGAATTCGAGAGATCCCACAAGCAGATGGTGTTGTTACTTAAACCAACAGCCATGAGCATTACTTCTTCTGTGCCAGCTGCGTGAGGTATTTGAGTTTCAGCTTGCTTACTCTGAAGAGGAACCATGAAGGTGATGGTCAAAAGCTTTAACAGATTACTCCTGAGCACGAATATAATGATAAAAATAAAACACAGACGAAAAAAGACTGCAACACTCTCAATATTTGAGATAGATGATGTAATGGGCTGCAACACTCTCAATATTTGAGATAGATGATGTAATGGGCTTCTGGTGTATACCGGGAAAAGTCGTACATCCATGACCCAATGACTGAATCTGGGCAGAGACTGTAACAATTTTAGTTGAGGATTTTCGTCCTTATGTACGGAAAGCATCTCAAACACTTTAACTCTCCTTTCTCCATGCACGAGCACCGTAAATAATCGGGTTTCTCCACTTGAACTGGTTGGATCCGATTTCTTTCTAATAGCTGGTCCACAGCATATACCATGCACTCTAACACCATCAAAGGCATCAATAGAGCTTAAAAGTGTTCCTGTAAGAATTTCATAAAGCAAAAGATGTGGCCCAGTGCCTGCAGACAGCAATGCTCGTAGTCATTAATAAACTCTCTCACAGAGTGAAACCTGCAAAATTTGGTTAGAGCAACTTATTCTCGACAGCTTTGAAAAAGGAGCTCCAGAATATGTCAGCGGAGTGGCAACAAGTGAGAATTATGAGAGATAATAAAAAATTTGCACTCTGTGTGAGCTCAAAGATTACGATGAGCTTACACAAATGATCAATATTTCGTGACCAGAACCATAACATAACAATTTTTTCAAAGTTCGAAAACCCTGAGTGAAAAGCGGCATTGACACATTCATCAACATTGGAAACGAGAAATCTACCCATATTCTACTTTCTCACCGGCGAGCAAAAGACGGCGATCAACAGGGGACGAAACCAGGCAGAGCGCGGAAACGTCACCCCTGTAGGGACCCTTCCGAAGCCTAAAATTTTCCATCTCCCTTTGGACTTTCACATTTACGGCCAATACCAAGAATCCCCGATCCCAGCAATTCAATTCTCACGACAATGCTTACGAGCAGAACTTCTGGCCATCCATGCTCTCAAGTCTCAACTCTCTCTGTCCTCCCCGTGCTCTGCTCCGCTGCGTCTGTTCCAGCAGCGTAGGACAGCGCAGGCGCAGGGTTCAGTCCGGGCAGCTACGTGGTGGAGCCCGAGCTGCCCGCAAAGAGGGTTTAGGGTTGAACTCTGTGAGCGTCACGGTCACCGGACAGAAACAGAGGCCCCTTAACGTGGACGGATTTGGCTCCCTGTCGAACGCTTTGGCTGTTTCTCGAGGCGCTCTTAGTTCAAAACGAGCTCTGGAACTGAAATCGTCGTCTCGTGGTCGTGAATGTTCTAGATTTGGCGTCGCGATGGATTCGGCGTCGAGGAATTGGACTCCATGGCAGGGATTTTTGGATTGTCGTTCGTTTCTGCGTCTGCCCCTTGTGAGTGAGTGAAGGTGCTGGAATTGCTCGCTTAAGTAACTGATTTGGAGAGGATAAAGTAATTTGGACCAGGAGGAATGTCAGGGGAGCAGAGTATTTCAGATGAGGTTGTGTGAGGAGCAAAAGTAAGTAGGGCTTGAACACGTCATGGATTCCAGTGACGAAGAAAATGGGGGTAGTAGGAGTGGGGAGGAGGAAAGGAGCGATGAAGAGATGAGCGACGGAAGTGGACAGGATGGCAGCTCGGACGGGAATGGAAACGGCAATTTGAAATCGAAGGAAGCTTCAGAAAAAGCAGCATTGAAGAAGGCGAAGTCAAAGAAGGCGAAGAAAGGGAAAACAGGGGTTGTTTATTTGAGCCGTATACCCCCTCACTTGAAACCTCTGAAGCTCCGACATCTTCTCTCGCAATACGGTGAAGTATCGAGAGTCTATCTCGCACCAGAAGGTAAGGTCCTAAATGCCGAAGCTTTTTGTATTCTAGTTGTCATGTTAGAATGGTTTGGGTTCGGATTCAATTGTCAATTTTTCTTTTCGCTGGTTCCAAGCCCTTCTCTAATTTCTGCCTGCGAATTTTGTACTCTCTATTTCACCTTCAATAGATGCTGCCACGAGAATTCGTCGTAAACGAGCTGGCGGCAACAGTGGGAAAAATTTTACAGAAGGGTAAGACAATTGAGGTGTATACTTTTCAATCATAGACGAGAGAAATGCATCCTTGAATTAGAGATTTTGCTCGGTTACGATTAACGAACTGAGTTTGAACAAAGTGCTTTCGTCCGAACGTTATGAAAGACAACTCTGAGTCACTGCATTTGCAGATGGGTTGAGTTTGTGCACAAGAGAGACGCCAAGAGAATAGCTGCAATGTTGAATGGAGAGTCCGTCGGTAAGTCTTCCAGGCTCCTAAGAACTTGAACGCCTAGCTTGGGTAGGTTTTGTAAATAAGGCATCAGAGTGTAAATGCTCTTTCAATAGAAGCGTACATTTTAATGAACTACACAGATTTTAAACATACTTGTCATCGATCGAAGGCAGCATTTGAAGAAGATTGAATCCATTTGATTGACACAGACCCTAGGAAGCGGTCAGCTTACCACTACGATCTATGGACTATCAAGTATCTCAAAAAGTTCAAATGGGACAACCTCACAGCTGAAATCGGTGAGTTCCTTGACTGTTTTAAAAAAAACATTCCTTCTAAAAACATTTCGATTTCACATTACTACATTCAGATTCCCGGCCACTTACGGCTCACTTGTTATGAACTATCCAGCGTACAAGAAGGCTGTTCGTGATCAAAAGTTGGCGGCCGAAGTATCAGCAGCAAAGAAGGAGCGTGACTTCTACTTATCGAAAGTTGATCAAGCTCGAGCCATAAATTCAATGGAGGAACGAAAGAAAAAGGTTCGTCTTGTGCATGTTCTGGAAGGGTACCGTGACTGGAAGTACTATCGGTCGTTGTCATGATAATGAACAGACACGTGAATGCTCAAATTGGAAAGTTTGTCTTCTCATTCTCATCTCCTTGCAAACTAACCAAGATCATTTACGTGCGTTTCAGAGAAAGGAACCGGAGGCCAACGGCTCTTCTTCCGCTGGAGGTGCAGAAAAACCGGAAGATGGTAGTGCGAAGAAGCCCAGAATTGTCAGGAGTTTCCACCAGAGGAAATCGGTGTTAGATTCGGCCTCGGAAACTAAATCGAGCTTAGCAGCAGATGTCTTGGCAGGGGTAAGTTAAAACGGTTTTCGGGAATTCTCACCCCAGCAAACCTTTGAAACAGGTCAGCTGTGATCACGCCGCGTGTCGATCAGGCTGACTGATACCCTTCGTGAGCTTTTTCCCCACAGCAGAAGTACTGACAGGCACTGCTAATGTTGTGGTGCAGGTATTTGGAAAATCAACTGTCAAGTAGGCTATGATAGAGTGATGAGAAGATTGACGCATGAAGTGGACCAGTCTGTAAAGTATCGTCACATGAGCTAAGAGGAGGGTGTGCATGGAGGACGCTGGACTTTTTCTACAGCGAGAGGCTTAGATCTGCAATCCAAACTTCTGACTGTGGTGGTTGGGATCATTGCGGTCTTCCTTGCTTTCTGCTCACAACTTGTTCCATGGGAGGTTTCCATAAGGAGTTACACAATTTTGAAGATGTAGGTTGAGAGAAATTAATTTAGAGAGAGTGCATAGGTTTGAATTTGGTGATTGTTTGGGTTAGTAAAATCTGCAACCCTGTTTGACCGGTCACATAGCACTACCGGACTTCCAGTCGTCCAAGAAATAATTACGTTTATTTGTGGACCCACTGCCACCTCCTTGACCAACACTTTTGGATCAGACGAGGCCGGGTCCGGTGATTTTTTGCAGTTAATAGATCAAAGATCGGTCAAATCGTTGCTGTTGATGCGATTTATCGTTCTGGTGATTCTTGCACATGAGCCTGTGTGTACCAATCGCGTGGACTTTATAGTAGGCACAAGACCATCACTTCAATGTGAAAGCTAGGGTAATAGTTCCATGATGCTCCCCACATTCAGACACTGAGGAATAGCGAAGATCCATCACACAATATCACATGCTTTCATTGTAGAGACACTGCTGTGGTCTGTGAACAGCACGAAACCCACCCCATTGCGGTCTTCAGAGGTCATCTGCTTGGCAAGACCCCCCGAGAACGCAACATCCAGGAACCACAAAATTGTGTCAGAAATCTGAAGTGGACTTTAATAGAAAGTAAAACCAACCTCGAATGGATTGAGCCGAAACTACTGTAAGCTAGCAACGCTCACTCACGTAATTTACATTACACGCCGATCGTAAGTTTTCTACCTGATTGTTGAACAACTCGGGAAGATGATTGTCTGACGTACCCTGAACAATCTGCAAACAGTCATCACAGCAGGATACCTCCCTGAGTATGCCATAGAGATCTAAATTGGGCATGAATCGCGTGAACCTTTTGACCAATTACTATCAAGCCTTTTGTTCGGTGAGTCGGCACAACCAATTGTTTAAAGTCGTACCACGATTTAGTTTAATAGAAAATTGAAAACAGCGAGCAGTTTTGAGACTGTGTGAGCTCCACTCCTGGATAAGTTACGGAACAATCTGCAACGAGACAACTAAGTGATGCAGGGTCTGCAAGTGCACGGGTATTAGTCTTGGGATAAAAGCAATGCATGTTTTACCATTACCAGAGTCGCAATTTTTCTAAGAGCGACAAAGATGTTTACACTCTCTTCCGGCACGAGTTTTGTAGGTGTGGTTCTAACACAGTATTTGCCCAACCTGCATATATGGGGTTTAGGGGCATATTCTGCATGGCAATCGGAAAAAGAAAGGCACTCAAGACAAGCTGCTTTAAACCACAGATGGCACGAACGTCAAACCCGTACTCGTACTCCAATACATTGGAAAGCATTGCACTAGTGGAAACTATCTTTAAAATTTGGTCTAATGGTTCGCTTATATTTGCTTGTGATGAACGACGCCACCAGCAGCAGTAAAACCTGTCGAAGCCGTGTTAGGGTCCTTCCACTCGAAGAAAGAATGACACTATCACGTGACTATCCTCATGCAGAGATCAATATGTGAAAAAGTTCGACCTGGGTTCGGAACACTGCTATCACTAGGCTGGATTATGATGCACCCGGTTTTAAGTCTCCTGCGAGTTCAATTCTTATCACGTGCGCGGACGCATCCCATAATTTGAAGAACGAAGCACCGAGTAATATAGCAAAAAGGATGCGAAGACCCCATCAAATCGTACAGGGATAAACCAAATGGTTAGGATGGAGCTAGGCCCCAATCAATTGAGGACATTCTCTCCCTTTTAGGTCATCTAAAAATTTAGAACAACTTGAGATAACATCTCGTTGAATAGCCTAAGACGCTTGATTTTGACATGACACACTAACATGTCCAGTTTTCTAGGTCGCCAGCTCTGAGAACATCTTCGGTCACTAAGTTTCAGTTACGGCGTCTCACTAGAATGAAGCAGCACGACTAACGTTCGTTTTTGTTATGACAAGCCCAATTGTTTCGTTTCCGCCGAAATGGAAGGCACTAACAGCACACCCTCTCTTCAACCCACAAATGCTCCTCGGTGGAGTGACAACATCTATCTCCATCTCAGCTCAGCGGGTTGAGAATGAATGCTCCAGGATCTTAAATTCTCATGCAAAGTGCTAGAGTTGGGAAGATAACGCCAAACCCTTGTGAAAAAGAAATCGAATTATCCATGGAATCGTAATCCATGACTAGACCACATCGAGTTTCCATCCCCCGCGTAGGTGCTTCAAGAATCTGGAACGTTCAACAGCGAATGAGACCATGAGAAAAAGATAAAAATATGCCTTCTTAGGAGACCTCCTATGGACCAATCGCCCTCTCGTGCATGCAACTAAAGCGCCTGCAGACGACCAATGTCCATCGCGTAGAACGATCACAAGAGCCTACAACCAGCTCACCCATGGCTCTCATCGTCTGTACTTCCGTTCCAGTTCGGTATTGCGCCACCTTCGGCGGCCAAAATATCAGCCATTCCATGACTGGACTTCAGAGGCTCCAGCTGCTCCAGAGTCCAGCGGCAGCGGCAGCGGCTGCAGCAGCAGGACGTTAAACGAGACCCCTGGTGCAGCCACCGGTCGACAGTGGCCCCTCTCCGACATTTACATTTTAACTTCTCTTTGCGCTATATTACCTCGTTCCCCCTTTTTTCCATCTACTGCGGGTTCGTGGGCGGCCTGGGGAGCTCCCGCAACCGTCCGATGAGAATCAATCCTCCTTTTGCTTTACTCATCGTCAAGCTGAACGGGACGTGACCGAATCCCACTCCCGGCCGAACGAGCGATCGATCGTTCGATTGGGCGAACGGATCGACGGACGGACGAGAACAGCTGGACGTGTACTGTACGTGGTTGGGCGCTGCTACTGATAACTCACAAAAAGCAAACTGCTGCAATGTTACATTGTTACCGTTAATCGAACAGGACAGTAGGCTCGCCGCAGGGCAGTCAGAGGAACTCGGTACAGCACGCACGTGTCTTTCGGAGGGCTTAAAATATTGATACATATGGATCTCTGCTCTAAAGATATGCATTAACCGGCACGGATTACAAGAAAATCACATCAGAATGGCGAGGTCAACATCCCAAGGCACTTCCATGATTATCACTAGCGGAGAAGTGTGTAGCAAGGAACTCAGCTTGGAATATCGAAACGCACCAAACGCATAAATTGGATGCTGCGAAATATTAAATGCCTTCTTTGGAGAGGATTTGCTCCCCGTAAACATTATACTCGTGCAAGGAGAAAAGAGGACAAGGGAAGGGTTCGGACTCGATATGGAGCCAAAGTCCGTAGCTATTATATAAGTCCATATTCAGCCACCCGGTCCACGAATGTGGCCAGCTTCCGCTCATCCGGTCCTTCATTCCATTCCCTAGACTCTCTCCCACGCGATGCACCTTGGCACTCGTCGACGGCAGGCAGCGGAAAGTATATAATAGCCCGAGATCGTGATAATCATCCACCCCGGGGCTCGCGACCGATCGGCCATCGACAGAACACGCCAGACTGAATGTCCAGTCGGGAGAAATGTCAACGAACTCCGATTCACGTTGTTTTATTCTTGGATAGGGCCGGGGCAGGGCAGAGCAGGTCGGGTCGGGTTGGGTCGGGTCGGAACGAGGCGAGGCCCATGGATAGCGGAGCGTGGGTCAGGTGCCGGTCAGCCTGGGCTCCAGGGCCGTGGGCGAGAGTCTTCTCGTTCGTGCCCAGCAGGCTCGCTCACGGCGGTTCTGTCACATCTGCTTAGGATGGTGGAGGTCGGGGTTTGTTCGCTTGTTTGTATGCGCGAGGAGACGAGAGCGAGGGTGACGTGCCCATCGGAGAAGGGAGGCCAGCGGGCACCGAACGAGCGCAGGCAGGAAGGAAGTGGTTCAGGTCCGAGAGCCCGACGAGAAGTCGCTGCTTGCTCTGTGTGCGGGCGTGCGTGCGTGCGTGCCATACTTCCCGTCGTTTGCCCACTTTGATGCTGTGACGCCAGAGTTCCGGGAGAGAGGATCAGGAGATACGGTGGTGGTCCGTCCTCTGGGCCTTGCGAGGTCGACAGGAAACCCTAAATTGTCGGAGGACCAGCGGTAGAGGGTGTCGCTTGTGCGAGGGTGTTCGCGTGTGTCCTTCCCCTGAAGATGGAGTGAATATCAGTCAGAGGGAGGGCATGATTTTCACTTTTGACCATCCTCCTGGACCGAATTGATCCTTCGGCAGAGTCGCGGGTGGAACGGTGGGTGATGTTTGAACCCTAATAATGTCGGGCCCAATTTTCCTGTCTTGTCTCTGAAAGCAGAGGAATTTATTGCGGAACAGAGTTCTCTCTTTTTCTTCCGTTTCTTTTGGGTTGATCTTGTGATGATGGGAAGGATTTGACGACTGGTTCTGTTGCCCTCCGGTCGTGCGTGCGTGCTCACTCTCCTCGGTCTGCACAGAGGCAATGGATGATATTCTTACCAGCTTCTTCGCAGGAGTTCCTCTTCCTCGTGGCTCTACTGAACGAGTACTTTGGCTTCTCGTATCTGGAAAAACAGGGCACGTGCTGGACGTCTTGAGGTGACGGGCATAAGCAGGAATATCGCTGGCGGGTGTAGTCATTATGACAGTAATCCCGACGTACGGGAAGGATAGAAGGAGAAGGCATTCGTACTACGGTTGTAGGAGCTCATCTGGAAAACTGCTCTCGAAGGTCTGTAAGCTGGATCAGCTCGATGGGGCTCCTCAAGGGCACTCTCTTCAGGTCTGTGGGATGACTGCATGAGGAGAGGGCAATGCCGGACAATCTGTCGGAGGTAGTCGTGGAAGGGAGGACTTTGCGAGGCAACTCCGAGTCTACTTCGAACAGTATGGGACACTATGGAGACGATGGGTCTCAAGGGTCTCATACCGAGTGTGTTGATCGAGCTACCGACACAGGTATAACGGGAGAGGATAAGCAGGTGACAGCGAGCAGTTCGCCGGTCGTCCTTGAAGCAGGGGAGGATGGTCAGGAAGCTCAGGGCTCAGAGGAAACCATGTTGGATCCCGATGTGGATCGCGCTCTCCCATTCAAGATTGTTGGGAATACCGTCGAGAAAGGAGAAGATGTCGTCGAACTCGTCGGAGCGTCAAATAATGTCGGAGCTATGGCAGGATTACCAGAGGACGTAGAGCAAAGCGAAGTCACAGACATCATCGGGACAGAGAAGTACGCTAGTACTGAAGGTGTTATCACGGTATCGAAAGTCAACCAGCTTAGTACTGTTGGTGGAACCATTGTTGCGGGAGTAGAAGGCGATTACAGTCTTGCGAACCCATCTCTCGCTTCAGAGGTGGTTTCTGATCCGATAGGTCAACTGGCAGGCATTGGTTCCGTCGTACCGGAAGCCAGGGAGGGTATTGAAAGTCAAGAGGGAGCTCTCAGTTTAGCTCTAGATGTGGAGCAAGGATCTCCCAGTAGATCAGCTTCGGCTCTGGCGGCCTGCTCCGAGAGAGGAAGGTTGTTGACCGATGTACGTACCACAATTCTTAGGGCCGCTGAAGCTTGGAAATGTCTAGGCGAAGACGTTGTTTTACTGCCTGTTAGTGATGGGAAGGACGCGGATCAAGCGCTTATGAAGACGGGAATCGCAGAGCCGAAGAGCTCGGAAAGCTCTGGATTACAGGATGTAGCCAGCACGGCTCAATTAGTTCAGGAAGTTAAGAGTACCGCCGTTGTTACTCCGAGAGTGCTCTTGAGTGACAACCCGCATCAGGAGCTTGGTTTTGCTGAGGGTTCGCAAGGTAGTTTGACCGTGCGTGTAGATAATGAAGAATTTCCGGAGGTGCATGTTTTGGGGCAGGAAGCAACGATCGTTACAGCTGGAGATGCAATTGCCGCAACTGTAAATCAGGGGGACTCCATGTTCATAACGTCTGTGGAAGCTTTTGAAACTGTGTCATTCACGGCTGAGGTGGAAGAGAAGGACTCAGAAGATGATGCGCAACTTGTCGCAAAGGAGGCTGGTGACAATCCCTCATTGATTGTTGACTCTAGCGAAGGAAAGATCTCAGTTCAATCTACCCAGGTACTAAACCAGAGTAACGTGGGCGTTGATGGTGGAGTCGATGGGTTATCCGGATCGATCGTGAATGGAAACTCTGTCTGTAAAGCAGCACCTTGCGATTTGGAAATAGACACCGCAGGGCACTCTGTAGTAGAGGCAGTATTCGAGCCTAGGTCCGAGCCGTCGGAGAACGAGGTCACTGTTTCTCCCGGAGAAGAGTTGGTGGTTCAACAGATCTCAGTCACGGGAGCAGTTATCGAAGTAGATACTCTTCCTTTGAACGACAACATTGAAACTGAAGATATTCGTATGGATCATTCTGAGCCGAAAGCCTCAGCACCGGAAAGAGATGGCAACGACGCTGTCATGGAAGACATCATTCCCGAGGAAGCGGTGATGCGGGAAGGAGAAGTCAATGACATTGTTATGGAAGACGTTTCGAAGGAAGCCTCAGGTGGCGAAAATCTAGAGGAGAAGCTGGTGCAGTTGGCCGGGGGTTCCTCAAGCGGGGTACAAGATGTAACGGAGAAGCAGCCGGAGCTGGTAGATGGTCCGGTTGATTATGATGCTAGAATTATGGGTATCGTAGGTAGTGCGATGAAGGAGAACGAGCTCGTGAGGGTAAAGAACCTGGTGAAGAACCTTACCAGAGAAGTTTCTGCCAAGCAAGACGAAGTTTCAAGGGAGCGGAGTACGCACACCAGTGGAAGTCCGAGTTTCTCGGGTTCAATTGATAAGAAGGTGGCTGAGAGATTTCTTGGCTCTCCATCCCAGAAGATGGAGGAACCTGTCGAAAGTTCAGACTGCTTGGTCAGCTGTGAGAGCCCTGAGAGCATGAAGCTAAGAGAACTCATACTGAACGGTTTGAATTTGCTGAAGAGCGTGGCCACAGATATCGCAGAGGGATTGGAGATGAGGCTGAGAGACTCCGTTGGTTCTCCAAGAGGGGGAATAAGTTTAGACACTTCAGACGAAATCAAAGCGCAACAATTGGACGAGAGTGTGGCACAAGCTACGAACACAATTGGCGGTGAATGTGAAGCAGCTGTTGGTCGCCGTCCTGGATCCTCGAGTGCTGTCCATCCAGTTGTTTCTTGCGAATTGGTGGAGAAAAGTGTAGTTTCAGGGGGTTTGAGTATTGATGAAGACCGGAGCCTTGGTCGGGAGACTGCTACTGATGTCGAACCATCTCATAAACCTCACCAGATAGAGGTGATGATGGAAGCTCCGAAAATATTAGCACAGAGTCCAGAGAGGTGCCAGGTCGAAGACCGCCTCCAACCCGCCTACCAGGCAGAATATGCAATCGATCATACCGAGGACGTTAGGAGTGGATCGATCCCTGCTCATTCTGATAGCGAACCTATGAGTTCAAGGGTTCAGGAAGGACTATCTGGATGGTCTGTGTGTGAGGTTTTTGTAGATGGATCACCAGCTTTAAGGGATGAGAAGGTGAAAGAAACATCGTATGCAGAATCTATTGCTCGTATTGGTATCTTGGATTCACCTACTATTGAGGAGATCGTAGAGGTTAACCGACCCGAACAACGTTCAGGTGGATCTCGACATTCGAACGACTCAAAGGTCTGCAGAGGAGGGTTCAAAGGCGCGTCAGGCAGACCAGATGATTATCCTACTTTGAATATCCAAAAAGGAACCTGCTCTTTAGATAGAGAAGTTCCTGCAGGACGTCTCGGAACGTCAGGAGAGGGCAAATTTGAAGCAACGTCTATTCAGGACAGTCGCATGTCCTTCGATAAACCCCACATTATATTCAAGAGCGAGGTTGAAACTCCTCTCGAAGACGACCGAGTGCCATCAATCCAAAGAGTTCTGGCGATCCCTAAACAGGACTTTTTACCAGTGGCTAAACGAACTCTTCCGGTGGTCACGAACTTAGAAGCGGCGGCGAAGCAAGCGATGGAGAGCACCTATTACAGATCACACATCTTAGAGGATAGTAAGGGGGCAGCGTGTTTTATTTCATCGACCAAGAGCCTTGCTGAGTTTCACGGAGTAAAGCGCGCAAATGATGCTGGGTCTGCGCAGGAGAAGTCAAATGGTGCAGGGCTTCTTCAAACCGTGGCTTTTTCCCCAGCTTCTTGTAGGGGAGCAGCACAACATATGTATGGAGGAGGATTGGAAAACTGGGCCAGACCTGGGGTGATGCGCACAACATTTGCGACGGTGGCTGGAGATGTAGGCCACAATACTCATGTACTTGTTGAGAGCCCCGACGGCAAGGAAGTGGGCAAGATACGCGGCCTCAATTCGACAATGTTGGTTGAATCTGCGGAAAACCAATTAATAGCCAGTGACGAAGGCAATGTTAAGAAGAAGATGCGTGCTGCAGTAGAAGCCGTGGGAAATATTCCGACGGTAGCCGTGAAGAAAAAATTGCAGACGAAAAGGAAGAAGGTTGCAGCAGATCTGGAGGTGAAGCCTATGGGAGCTGCCACCCAGGACCGAGTACCTTGCGATTCTCAGAAGGCGGAGGATACGACCATTAAATCCCCCAAGCTACCTTTCTCAGAGAATGTAGAGACCAGTCGTCCGGTGGAGCACGTAGAAATTCTGGATAGTACAGGTGTGGCTCCAACACTACCAGAGACTTCTGCCGCTGAACAAGTAATTGTGTTGTGGGCACCTGAAGCAGATGGTGTCGATGGAAGTCCGACTGATCTTGTGAATGGAGGACAATCACAGGGCCTTGGTTTAAGGTGTAATTGTGGAAAACCAGCAGTTCTTAAAACTGTGGGATCCAAGAGCCCAAATAGAGGCAAGAGATACTACTCCTGCGAGAAGTATAAACCCCCCTTCTTCACCAGAAAGCGGAACCGAAAGCGTGACGATGACGACGGGTCAAGTTGTCGTTTCTTCCAGTATGTGACAATCTCTCTCATATACTTTTTGATAAGTTTCTTTGGCTGAATGTGGAAGTTCGTGAAATGGACGCACTGAATGCTCGTACTTCTGCTCCTTTGTCAGCTTGCGCACGAGCATCCTATGTCTGCATCTGAAATGTTTTCATGCGTAAATTTATGAGTTATAGCAGTCTATAAGCATGTGCATACAGTAATTTCAGAATCTTATCGTTATTGCTTATCAGTCAAGTACCCGAGCTTTGATACGGAAGTGAACATCTGCAGCTTTGCTTTCGTATGATGGTTTTCATCTTTGAGTTTCTTAACATGCAATTGCTGCTTGTCATACTTGTCGGTACGATTGAGAAGAGTGAGTAGTCAAAATGCCCTGCCAAAGGTAATTCGTCAAAGCTCTGAGTGTTTTACTATATTGATGCAAGGTGGTTGGATATACCAAAAGTGACTATGGAAGATAAGAAGGAGATCAAGTTGCAGAAAAGACGGCAGTTGGAACAGATTTTAGCAGTTAAACCAGTCACGACTAGCTATACGACAAGGTCATCATCAAAGCCGGAACTTTCAGACCATGATGGTCACAGAAACCAGGGATTTCTGGAAGGGGTGCCTCCCGTGTCTAGTCTTTCCGTAGAAGAACCCAAGCATGAGGACTCAGAGGAGCCAGAGCCCTCCAGTAAAAAGCAGAAGCTGAGTAAGGTAGACCCTTCTCTTTCAACAGCAGACTCTGTTGCTTTTTCTACAAGAGCGTCAGCTGCGAGGAAGCGAAAGGGACCCTGTATCACAGAAACTAATGACAGGAATACTCCAGGGCATAGTTCTTGTGGAGATGAATCTTCCCATGAAGTATCTGTTGGGGATTGCAACCATACCTTGTCTCGAAAAGGGGCAAAGAGGTTCAAGCCTGAAGGAGATACCCCAGGTCACACGTACACTCGCCGTGGAGAATCTTCTCGACCGCCAAGGCAATCTTTTTACACGCCCCGAGCGAAAAATATTGGTAGAATGGAGAGAGCAACTGCGGATACTCACCACGTTCGCAAGCTCCTCCCAGTGGCTCTGGCTTACGAAAAGTCGAGGGAAGTTATACTCGAAGAGAGCTCCGAGGATGAAGATAGTGGAGATCATAAGGAGGATTCCAACGAAGATCAAAATGCTCCGGAGGTGTGTACTTCGGAGGATGAACCTGTCGAAACTCCCGCTTTTACTTCAGCCGAGAGAGAGCAAACTCCTGTTAGACCGCGGAGTCAGAGAACATCATCTACTCCCAGGGGCGGTCAAAATGGGAGGATATTCAAAGTCATCGAAACAGTTGAGAAATTGAAGCGTAATGTGCAGAAAGTACGTCGAGATGCAAGCGGTTCTGAAACATCCCTCTCTGGTGACTTACACAATGGAAAACAGCAGGCTCCATTGTGGATTGATGTTCCTTTGACGTCCCCATTCGAAGATAAGGATTCAAATAAATCTGGGCTTTCAGGACAGCAGGTTATACACGGAGTAGGGCAGTTTGGCCCTTTTTCCGGCAACCATGACCTGGTCGTTAACTTCCCTACTGCGTCTCAGTCAGGAGAAAAGACGACTATCTCAAGCAATACGTTATTGCTGGTCAAGGAGAAAGCGAGAGAAGCTGTAAACCTCAGGAGGGGTAAAACTCTCACCTGTGAAACGGATTCACAAAGAGCGGCCTGGACGAAACCAGCTGATCAGATGAAGAAGAGGTCGGCAGCGCACAGAGATGTCTCTGATTCTGACGAGGAAGAAACTGGGCCAAGTGGGTCAAGAGGCATTAGATCACTGAAGGACATGCTAAAGAGGGAGAACAGCGACGGAACTACTGCAGTTTATGAGGTAGCGGATGAGACGCAGCCTCCTTATTGTGAATGCAAAACGGTGAAAAGGCGTGCTGCTCTGAAGACCGTACTCTCCAACTCTGCTAACCAAGGTTTGAGGTATTGGGTGTGTGTCAATCACCGACCCTTATTTCAGAAAAAGAGCCTGTGGGAGGGGGATCCAAATGACGAAAGCTGCAAGTTTTTCAGGTGAATTACGTTGCCAGTTTTTCCTCAGTGTGTGTCAAGTTCTATATGTGGTTTTCGCGGTTGCTAGATTGTTGATTCTCTGTGTAATTTACCTATATCTTCATGCATTTGTAAGCACATTTGGAACGGTGTTTTCCTTCTTACAATCTGCTTTAGTTCCTCCTTGGGTTTAGATTATCACCGACAGCCGTAAGGAAATTATGTGTAGGTGTAATGCTTTGTTCTCAAGCTTCTTCTAAGTTTGTTACTTTTAGCACAGCTCTCTTACATCCAAATGCTGATAACTGCATCTTCAACAGCTTCGTTTGGCCTGACCCACATAATTGGCTGCCTGCGCTTCCTATACTAGAATGGATATGAGAACCAAGTAACACTAGGATTGGATGCAGATCTGATCAAAACTTTGTTAAGCTATTGAAGCCAAAATTGCTCTCAAATTTTCTCAATCAAGAAAAGAAGCCCGAAGTTACCAATCCCTTCGAAATTTTTTTCTGGCGCCTCAGATCTAAATATGTGGACGAGTTATTGATGAGTATCTTGGCTGATACTTGGACAGTTCGGATTAATCTTATCCTTGGGGACCAATCTCATCATATGAAAGAATCTTCATTATCAACTAGTCCTTTTTTCTTTTCCTCAACCTCACGTCTTTTTCAGACGTGAGGTTTAGGATCAATCGTGCTTGTCAACTTTACCGCTCAGCCATGGCTCGTGGTCTATGGTCTTCAGACTATGACGAAAAGAGACGTATGTAACCTGTGTGTTTCTTGATTCTGTGTTTTACCACAGTCTCTCTGTATCGGAATAGTCTAGGTGGTGATAATCATAAAGAACCCTGAGAACGTACCATGGCATTTTTAACACAAGGCTTCACTTCACCAAGTGTTGAGACCACAGAATCCTGTTTTGCCAATAATGTCGTTCATATCTCTCTAGATCCTGATACTAAGCGATGTTTTTTACCGGAGAGAAAGACATTATTACACTTCACCTATTTAATATCTGGACATGTGAGTAAAAATTAGATCGATTACCTCTTATAATCTAAGTACTTCAGGCGTTGATTATGTATTTTTGAATGCGGACTATAGAGTGTTGCTGTGAAGTTCCTGGGCTTGGGATGTTCACACTGTCCCGACTAAGTATTCTGCAGTAGCAATTTCTCGTCACTGATTCACACACATTCTATCATCCCTCTCCATTACCCCCTTATTGCTTCTGTGCCTTGTACCTTCATTTGAACTTTATATCTCTTTTATCAATACCGAACCCATGAAACCTTCAGATCGTTCAGTTTCCCTTTAAACTTCTAGATACGTTCCTTACTTTCTATATGTAATTTTCATGCAGATGGCTCGATACTCCCATCATCAGTTATGCAGAGAGGAAGAAACAAATGGCAGCAAGGAGACGGCGGAATGAAAGGGTAAGGATGAGTTCGTTCGCTTTAAGGTTCGACTGAATATCGTTGTTTGCTTTTCTGTGTCCTTAAATACCATTCTTGTAAAGGCCGAAGGTGCGGAGACGAATTTACTTTCGGATGCTAGAATGTTTGAACCTTACCAAGCCTCTTCTGGGTATATTTAAGATTGGACATAACTAATGTGAATCTCCTCCATTGTCACACAGAGAAGGAGATGACTGCAACGTGTACAATTTTACTCTTCATTGAGCTCAATGTTTTGCGGTCTAGTGGGGCGTCAGTCTCAGCTTTATCGAGGTTTCGAGGTTTTGAGGCGTGCTACTTATACCCTTGCAACTTCATTAACTTCCGTCAGCCAACTCCGACTCTTCGCGAACTTCTTCTCAAAAATCTTGTAGTTGAACGAAGTGGGGCTAGGGAGGAATTACGAGTCTTCCGCCTTTCGTAGTGTTTCCGAATTATTACAGGTGAGAAATGTATGTTTCTCATCTTTAATAAACCTGTGAAAGATTTAGTTGCAGTGAAATAGTAACACCAGCAGACTTTCACTGACAAGGCGTCTCGATGAGTTGCCATAAAACCAGCGTCAGGAACTTACTCTTTCTTATACAACACATTTTGTTGTGAAGCCAAACAAGTAGCTGTACAAATTGGACATATAGACTGGTTAAGTTAGGCAACAATTACACCCCTACAGCTAGAATCAGTTAAATGGGGGCCAACATTCAAGGTGTAAATATAAGTCATGATCATTGAATAATGGAGAGGACCCAGTTGAATGAATAACTCACATCCTTTTACAGTCGGCGCTTGATCAAGCATTTGCAGCTGTAGGTATATTGTAAGACCAATTATCTTTGGGACATATATCTGGAACTAGAGGAAGTTGGAGACTTGATTTCGACCACTGTGTTTGGCCGTTCTCTAAGTATAGTAGTGAGAGTAAGCAATTCGTTTTCACTAAATCCTGAACTTCACTTGATTGTGTTTTTAGTTGTTTGTTTCACTAATGTACTGATTGGTAAACTAGAGTTTTCATGCTTCCTTAACACATTGGGACGTTGTACAGATTATTGTTCAGCCACAAGCCATTGTGCGCTCGTTGTGGTGAGTCATTGTTAATACCTCCTGAAGTTGTAACTTTTGTAGCAATTCTTCGCTGGTCTACAAGTTTATGTACCTTTTATAACTTAGTGATCTTACATATTTTCATAACAGGTATACCACTTCGCTTGTTTTAATAGTTTTCCCATTATTTACAGGTTACATGTCTTGACAATATTGTCATTCTGTTCTGCCTCCTCGCAGTTGTGACGATGCTCTACTTCGTCTTTGTACTCCTACGTCAGTGTTTCCGTATCGTCAACATCATCCTATTATCTACCTTCGTATTTCAGTCAGATGATCATCCCATGACTTTCTCACCTGTCAAAGACACTCATACACGTATGGATATGGACCTGTGAAGGATATGGGCTGGCTGATGGTTGCAGTTGCACAGTAACATACAGTCAAAGGTTACCCTTGCAGATGACCTGCCTTTGGACGAAAGCTCTCACTACCTTCCATTGGATGAAAGTGATGCGTGCATTGATTTCATTTATGATGTCGACACCTGCATGTTGGTGCTGAACGAAGAGTTGGATCCCTGAGTAGCATCGGAACATTGGCAATTGAGGACGAGGAGGTTCTACTGTGTTTGTGTTGAACCGAAGCAACTCCTTCAGCTTCCTTTTCCGTCATTGCATTCCTTTTCCGTCATCATTACTTTTTGCAGATACTGGAGTCTGACGAAGTTGGTAGGTACGCCGAGCACGATTTGGAAGAAATTATACCGACCTGTGAAGAAAGTCTTTTGGCCATGGAAGACTGACAAGTTTGACACTTAACCCATCATATCTGAAATACTATCAGGTGTAGAGTGCATCGTCTGGTCCTACAAAGATTTGGCAACTTCTGCTGCGATGGAAACCTGGAAAGGTCGATATGACTCGGATCTAGCGTTCTTGCTGTTCTACCTTTTGATCGGGAAACGCGGAGATCTCGTAGTCATCCACGTTTTCATCTTCCCACAATCGGTCAGTGTCATCTCCTGACACCCAGTACATAACATGGCTCCACGCCGCTTTAACTGTTCCTTCCTTCTGAGTCCAACCTTTTGGAGCCAACAAAGTTCACCAGTGGATGATAATGTTCTGGTTTCAATATTGCTTTACATCTGAAAGGTTGAACTACTTCATTTACGCGGAGAGATTCTACCATAAGAAAGACCCTTTTCACTGCAAAGCAGTTCCTCCCCATACCGCCACCTTGTCCATCTGATCTAACATCTGTGTCCTAGTCTTATCGATACTAGCACCGCCATGTTTGACTCATTATTTATTGTCCGAATGAATGAAGGGTATGACTTGCAAGCAGTCGTGAGTAGCTCCTTACAGTACAACTAGAGTTGCCCGCTTGCAAGGAAGATCCTCCCAGCAAGCTTTGAATTTGGTCTCTGGATCCTGCGTGAACGCCCACCTATACCTACTACCAGCTCATCCTGGAACAAATGGGCTAATCGTATCACAGCACTCTGGGCAATATATGGTCCCAGACGTGGGCCACAGCCGCCCTATAAATTTTAGTAAATCGCCGGAGACATTTGCCGAGTCCAGTTTGATGTCCCTGCCCAGCACAACCTCCACCAGGAGTTGTAGCGTGGTCTTAATTCTGTGGGTAGTACTTCCACTAGGGGTGGTAATTATTGTTTGTATCGATCTTCAACAAAATGTCTTCGTTCTCTCACTGGGAGATTCTAGTAGAAAGAGTTTATTATACATGGTTTCATGGTAATAGTTTTCTGTCGATTTTGTAATTGTATATTATATTATTATAGGTATATTAGAAGTTCAACTTTGTTCAACTCTTATCTTTTTGTTCGTGAACTAGATTCGGGAATACAGTGAAAGAATAAAATTATTATATTTCAATCATTATCAAAAAAAATGAAAAGAATTGTAAATTTTTTTTGTAAAATATCTATTAAAATCATTATTTTACACCAATGAATTTATTGAAATAATATTTATATATAATCGAGTGAAAAAAAATTAATAATAAATATAGTGAGAGGTTAGTTATCATTCAATTTTGATTAATTATAACTCACGCTAGGCTAATATGCACTTCTTCTCTCATTTTCTCTGCTGCGAAGAATATATCACTAACCTCTAGTGAACATAGGAATAACTCTGAGGAATCATAGAGTTCTGTTCAGTATGGATAACTAGCACTCCCTACATTTATTATTGAATTTTTTCTTCACTAGATTCTATATAAATATACATTACTTAAAAAATTCATTGGTATAAAATCTTTTATTTTCATTTTTTAATTATAAATATTTTCACATTTTTTGGTAATTATTGACTGGTATAATAGCTTTTTTCTTTTATTGTATTTACAAAACTAGTTGACAAACAAGTAGACAAGAGATAATAAAAGTAAACTTCTAATATCCATCATGATAGAGATAACAAAATTGAGAAAAACATATTATCCTACTAACTATTAAGAAGCCATATAAAATAAACTCTTTCATTTAACGTTCAATAAATAATTTGAAAGTCATCATAAAGTATACCTTTACAAATTAAAATTTTAAAATAACATGCTAGATTTGTATCATATGTAGTGTATTGTTTTCCATTTAATATAAATAATGTATAAATTATTTATCTCAATATATTAATAATCATTTCAAACCAACGACTATATGGCTTTTATGTTTAAGATTTGGACATGTAAAAAAATATTTTCAAGAAGTTTCTAGGAATGTTGTAAGGTTTTGATAATGTGATTGAAACTCTCAAACAACAAGTTATTTATGAAGTTTGAAATATGGTTTTATTTTCAAAACGTATATGATTCAAGGTAATTACATGTAAACATGATCTAAATGATTTCTGTAGAATTAATGATATGAATCACTATGTGTGTATATTGTTTAAATTAATTATAACCTGATTCAAAAATGATTTTTTGTAAATCATAATATCATCATAAAACCTCAATGAGTAAAGGGGTATTATCCAATAGCAAAAAAACCCTATGTCTAATTTGGTGTTTTTACTTCTGAAAAATAACTTCTTGAACCTTTACTAGCATGTTTCAACTTACATCTAAGATTTTATATGACTAAAAATGAATATGCAACTGGTGATTCAATACAGTCAAGAGCTTTTAATTGGTTGATCAATGCGCACTGAATATTATAAATTTCCATTGCGTTCACAACTACAATCTCAAAAAATCCGATCTTTGAATTATTATTTTTCTCTAATGCTTGATATGGTTTCGTGGATCACATTGGACAGTAATTGCGTAAAGATTGTCTAAAGTTACCATCAATCCAGATCATATGTAGTGACTTCATCTTCTTTTCCTCAAAGCAGCATCTTTTACAATCCTTGATGCATTTTACATCAACTTAGACATTTTCATGTTGTCTCAAAGTACGTTTTTGAAATCATTAAACCCAATGAGTACTATTTGCTTTGGCAAGAGATGGCAATATATGTTGGTTGGCACAACACATGCTGTCAATGTGTAATGATGTCAATTATGTATGTAATTTTGCAAGCTTTTTGAAACGATTAGTAGAAGATCAAAAATTCATTTTTCAACTTTATCACATATCAAAAGTGATCATTTTAAAACTTTTTATTGCTATTTTTACATCTTTTTGATAGCATCTTCACAAACATAGTATTCTCGTGCTAGAGACTTTTTACTAGTAACATATCTTGGCCTCAGTTTTTTTATGATATTGCATCATTTGAAGTCATTCAGACATATATTGTTGCATCTTAGATCTTGTTGCAATCATCCTATGATATCTCAGTGCTAAGACTTATTGAAGAATTTTTCATTCGATTTTTTCAACATTACATTGAAATCAAACGATTAAAAATTTATTTGTCTAAAATATGCACGTAGCTAAGCATTCACAATCTTTCCAGATTCAAGTTGCATATTAGGCGGATTGTTATTGTATTTCCTCATTGATAAAGATTTTTTTTCCTGACAAAAGTTTGTAAGATAAAATTACAAAACTTAGCAAATGAAAAATAAACCTTCATCATAAATATTTTAATTGTAATATTTTTAAGATCCAATTTTATTATAATTCAATAATAAAAATTTGACCTTATTCTTATTCACCTAACTTTGAAGTTTGTTAGCTTTATCAATAACATTCAAATTCAGTTTTATAGCTATTTGAAAAAAAGCACATACAAAAAAATATTGCATTCTGTATACTCATTCAACTTTTTGATAGCATATGATTCAGATTATAAGGCGATTGTTCATACAAACATCTCCTGCATAACATTACAATTACATTTTGACATCAATTTTTCTTTGCATAAGCAATATACAAGCAAGAATTGATAATGTATTTTCATTCAACACTCGCCATTCTTATAATAAAAACGTACATTGTATATAGTAATCTCAAATTGGTCATAACTAAGTAATTCTATTGACATGATGTTACTGTAAAAATAGTGTGTCATGCAAGAGAATCTTACTTTACAAGCAAAAAAAGAGTTATGCCAGAATTTCCAAACCCTTAATAAAGTACTCCTAGTTCTTAAAATTGCTAGTACTCTCATTCAAATTAATTAAGCCTTACATAAAACCTTACAAAATTATCTCTTAAACTCTCAACATCTTCAAATTAAATTTTTCTCTTTTCATTACAGTAGTCTCTCAACTAAGTGTGCAATTTGATCCTTGGAGTATTTATCCGGTAGCTGTTTACTTAGTCAATTCATTTTCTAATAGAAGTAGGAGAAGATTTCAAAATTATTCCCAATATTGGAGATCTTGAAACTGATTTAATATATTAATATTTCATGTATATATATAGTCATATTTGTTTTTTTCTCTAAGAGTAGTCACTTGAATAACCTACCTTCAATAATTAATAAGCTTATTAAAAAAATTATATAAAAGTTTTATATCTTTTCACCAATTTGAAACTAGAAAAAATATATTGAAAAATTATTATGTGAGATATTCATATTCATTATGACATAATTGATAATTAGTCAAATCAATTCTCTATATTTTCATTCAATTTTAATATCAAAGAAACCCAAATCAAATCAGTACATGAGAATTAGCCATGAGATTTAAGTTTAGCAACATTGATGCTTCCAGTGCTCTAGCTTGCGAGTAAGATATTAGTGAAACAACTATAAAAAAATACAAGCAGAAGCAAATTCTAAAAAGAGCTTACTAAAAATCTAATGAACCTAAAGAGAAGATTTTCCATTGAGTCTAAGTAAATACTTTACATTTGAATTGACAGCATGCGTAGGGACAATTTTCCTACTCCTCAATAGCCAAAGCAGCAAAGTCCTGCATTGAGCTTCAAAATTTTACCCATACCCATGAGTGGGTCAACTGTATCCATCCATTACCCACTCATGGAAACTTTTGCATATCCATTATCCATGAGTCCATACCCAATTCATTTTTATGAATCCATCACCAAAATAAAGTTACTTAAGAGCACTTGAAGTTTTTTTAAGAAAAGTAACAAGCCAATGATTTATTTTAAATAGTTACATACAAATGTCACGATTAGAATAAAAAGAAAATCTAAAGTGAAGGTCTCACTTCAAGCTGCAAAATTGTGTTTAACCAACAAATCAATAAGAACATGAATAGCTTTAGCGGACTCATCCCATTATAGAACAAGAGAAGTATAAATCATGTGACAAGAGTTTTATGATCAAAATTTTGAGAATAAACTTCAGGGGTACAAAGTTTCAGTTCAAGTTACAAAATTGTGTTTAACCAACAATATGATAAAAGGATGACATGTGATAAACCAACAGTCATTACATAATGTCACAGGATGAAACAAGAGAAGTACAAATCAAGTGACAAGAGTTTCGTGATCAAAATTTTGAGAAAAAACTTCAGGCAGTATAAAATTTCACTTCAAGCTGCGGAATTGTGTTTAACCAACAATATGATAAAAGCATGAACAGATTATAGATTGACAATCAATACATAATGTCATTATATGCAAGCGAGCTCTTCAAACACGTGACATGGCCATTGCCCAAATATAATGTCTCATGATTTTCAGGTGGAGCCTGCTGATTGACTCCACTTCTTGGCTTGTAAAGAGTTGCGGAAGAGTTTTTTCTGGATGTGTACATCACAGTCCTGCAATGGATACCCAATACCCATCCATTATCCACCCATGCATACTAGCCCATATCCATTACCCACCCAATTAACCATGGGTATGGGTTGGTATTGGATACCCATTGCAGTCAAAGAAGTAAGTATTACATTAAGTTTATCAATTTTGGTTTAATCACAAGGCAATAAGGGTTGCAAAAGGTCTTGCTTATTGAAGAGGAAGCTGAAGTAAACAAATTGGATTGTGGATTACCGAAAGCTTTAGACAAACTAGACATGTTTATTGTCCAATATGATCTGAACACGTATACAATAATTATCCATACCGGTTAGATATTTCAAAACTACCAAAATATAGCCTTCTAATGAATAAACGACAATCAAAAATTGGTTTCCAAATACAAGAAACTTCAAAACTTGCCAAAAATGACAATCAATCACATTTTGAACCAAATAAATCTTGATACTCGTTTTTTGGGGTGAAATTATGCATACATAATGGGTTGCGTATTTAACAGGGAGACTACTGCAATATATTACATCCGCGAGTGCTAGACCACATACGCCATAGCTTATGCTTTCAACATTCCCACCGCTTGAGCTTCTACTGCATACACTAATAGACAATTTAATCCCCATTAGCAGTTTTCTTCCGCTTACAGAGCTCAAACACTTGAATTCAAGTGTTTGCACTGTAGTTTGCAGGATGTATTAATACACGTTCAGAGAACAATTGCTCCAATCTGTAATGCTTGAAACAAGTTGCACAGGTTAGACGAATAAAATCTTAACGTGTCAAATATTCTAAAGCAAAGATTGCACACTCCTCCAACGAGACTATTTGACTGCATGCGACCTTCATTCACATGCTAACTCGATATCAGAGAGAATGGACGTCATTTAAAAGCTAAGCAAAAAGAATACAGGGTCCTTTCTTGAGCCATGGGATGCAATTTTCACACATGCGTTGTAGAAATCTCATCACTTTTCTTCCGACTGTCCCACAACTATTATGATAGGAAGTTGCAACGACGAATACAACTCGCTAAGCTTACTCATGAATATTCGACTGACATGGGAAGTGAGCGACTTCATACAAGCAAGAGGACACAATTAGAGATGCTACTGACAGCGTAGATTAGCGGACGAGGGGCACTGGGCATGCACTGCTTTGAGTGACTCTGCCATTCAACTTGTTCTTCCATGACCACAACATCCAAGCAGTTGCACCTACTCAGTTGCCAAACATCAAATGTTGCGAGACCTTTGGTTTACAAACATTATCGATACTTCATTAGATCAGTCACTCAGTAGGCCTTCTATACTCGTAGTCTCACCCATGTCTTAGAACCTACTCATAGCACTCATTGCTTCGTCAGGGTTCAGGTTGACAAGGCGAAAACATTCCTGCAAGAGCTACTTAGCTGCACTTTTCATTCAAGCATGTACTCGACAAACAATAGCCTAGTCGAATGACCTGATATGATTGATAGGTTTGGAGCTTGACTGAGTAAGTAAGAAGGCTAACTTACTCCATATGCGTCTTTAGACTGGTAAATGCTAGAAAATCTAGCGGACCATTAATGTAGAAAAAGAGGATGGAAGACCACAAGGAAGAGACCAGGCGGGTAACATGGCCAGCCCCATCCATGTTTAAGACACATAGTTTTTTCTCCCGGATGATGAAGCCTGACGTACGAGGATTTGCTGAAGCCATGTGGGTCCTTTAGAGGACTTCCGATCATCCCGAAATTTCACCTGCAAATATCTTCCGGTCATCTACCAGGCAGCATGCGTACGAACGGGGTCAACGTGTCAAAGGCTAGAGTGTAGGCACGTTGAGAATACGGCGCAACGTGAAAGTGAAATGTAAGCACATGACACATGCACTGTCATAGATGCGATCGTAGGCAATTTTTTGTCTTATTCTTCTTTCGGGAGCTATACTGTTAGAGTACATCCGATCGTAGTAAGTATGCACCAGGTCAAACCGTTCCTACCGTCGTTGGGACTCGAATTTCACGATTCTCCTCCCTCTCATGATCAAAATGGCCGGTCACAAATTTCAGACGACATATTTTCATTCCAGGATAATGTTTGCGAACTGTACGGTTCGAGTCCAGTTCTCGATGTACATCTCCACGCGACGTACATTAAATATATTGGGACGTCAACAGCGCATTACCAGTACGTAAAAGTACATACTATATTTGCTCTTTAATCGAATTTCTTGCATATGTTTGTCAATAGAGTATTCTGCTTGTATTGGAGTGACCCATTCCAATATTCTCAGGTTTAAAATTTATTATGAGCCCTACTTCCAAATATACTTGCATGGAGATGATATAGATATATAACTAACTGGGCACAGAATAAATCTACTCTTCGCACCTTCCCCCTTGGACTCGGCTGTCATCGGCTTTTGAACATCGTTTGTCTCCGGAGTTCTGCTTTAATTCCATTGGGGCTCGCTTAATCGGATGAGCCCAAAAAATCGGGTAGGAAAGAGCACGCCATCGTTGATGGATCGTGCAAATTCCGAAATCTGTCGCTGCCTCTGAAATCGAATCTCGGGTGGGCAACGGAATGGGACTGACGAAGGGTCTTCTCGTCAGTCCTTCTGCAGCACGAGACGGCGCTGCTATAAAAAGAGACCGTGGAATTTTGAACTCACGGCATTTGCGCACGATTGCGTCCCTTAGCCCTGCGGCCCGCCTTCTTCTTCGTTTCTTCTCCACTTCTCCTTCGTTCGGGCGGCGCGGGTGGAGACGCTCCGGCTGGTGGGGCTTGTCGTATGGGAAACTCGCAATTCTAGAACTCAGATTTGGTATACACAGTGCGGAAAGAATCGATATCCGTGGGTTCGGCCGATTCCCGCTCGTGTCAGGACGCAGCGCTGTTGCGAGTACACTACAGTGCAGGATTTGATCGAATGCGCGTGAGGCTTGTTCTCGACTGACGCCGGAAGAAGTGCGAGCGAGAATGCACGTCCTCGCGGGTGTTGGTGGTGGATGCGAATAATCTGGCGACGAATTATAGTGTTCGTGTGCTTGGAGATATGGAGAAGTCTGTGTGTGAGGCATTGAGATCGAGAGGAAGAGTATGAAAGAGAGAGAAGAGAGAAGAGATATTATATTTGTGTTCGTAGTTTGAGTGGCTGAATATTTCGGTTTCCGCAGTGCAACATGTTGGAGATTTCGTCCACGGCGGGATGGATCAGCACTTCCATTTCGGTGCTGTTAGTTACATTGGTCGTCGTTCTGCGGAATTGGAATTGGTGGAGCTATGCGCCCAGTCTTCAGAAAGGCCAGGCTCCTCTCCCCCCCGGAGACATGGGCTGGGCTGTCGTCGGCCACATGCTTGACTTCCTCCGTGCGTTCAAATCCCAAGAGCCTGACACTTTTATCGGCAATATGATCAAACGGTATCTATCTGATTCTTGTGTCCCATCCAGATGATCAGGCATGACCTCTAATGAATGACCAGCTAATGATGTAAATTGAATTGTAGTGACTGACTTTCTCACTTGCACTTCGTCACATTGTGGGTCTATGTAGAATCATTACAAAATATTGTTGTTTATCCACAGTATAACTTTGAATTGTTCAATATTAGAGTGCAGCCTCGAAGTTTCTCCTTCGGGTCTCGTCAGTCGCTACGAACTTCAGTCGCAGTCTTCTTGACTACCAAGTGTTAGTCTTTTTCTAAACTTGTGATCGAACACAGAGCGCTGAGGTTGATCAGGGAATGAATTCGACGAACATACATAATTTTTATTCCCTCACTGAACGCTTCTACAGGTGGGGTCGAGTTCCACTTTACACTACTCACTTGTTTGGGCAGCCCACGGCGCTCGCAACGACCGCCGAGAGTATTAAGCAGGTCTGCATGAACGGCACAGTCTTCAAATCCGGGTGGCCGAAGGCAACTCGCACCGTCCTTGGAAGAAAATCATTTTCCGTTCTCGAAGGCGATGAACACAGGAGGCTCCGGAGGCTCACGGCACAAGGGCTCCAAGGACAAGAAGCGCTTAAGGCTTACATCCCGCGAGTGGAAGAACTGGTCAAAGCGAAGCTTACGAACTGGGAAGCCTTAGGGCAGTTTAAGCTTGTGGAAAAGCTGCAACAGGTTCGTTTCTGAGATTTGGAATCCTGAGCATTGAATCCTTGTTCAAATCTTTGGTCTCTTTTAGTTTATTTCCCTACTTCTTCTCTGTCGTTCGCCTATCTTCGAAGGATCTAACGCTCGTAGACGTTTGGCTACCTTCGATATTACTGACGACCGCTGAAGAGGTTAAATCTTCACAGAGTTTGTTTGTTTCTTTTTCAAGATTGATGTGTATGTTTCAAATGTCGAGTGAATGTGGAAGAGTTCCAAAATTTTGTGTTCTAAAATCACTGTGATTATATTGTGCAGTTCACATTCGAAGTGATCACTTACGTTTTCATGAGTTATCCTGGCGGACCGCAAGCGCAAGAACTTCTTCACGACTTTGAACTGATGGTTCATGGTTTGCGCGCCATGGCAATAAATATTCCAGGCTTTGCATATTACAAATCATTGAAGGTTAGAAACTTGCCGCTGCTTTCGGCTGTGGCACTCCTTTCTGGTCGTCTATCAATCAGATTTTATAGCTGCTTTGTCCAGAAAATCGTCTGCAATGATGGGTTTAGAGATGTATTATCCATGTATTTTAGAGATATACGACCTCATGTGTCGGATGTGCAGTTCTAATGATTTATCTTGATTGCTATGACTCTTTCTCTTTCCTGTTTCTTTTGTATGAAACAGGAAGGAGAGTTTCTCTACTTGGTTTGAAATTCCCAGGTCTAGGGAGGGCTATAACTCTACTGATTGATATCTTAGAGTAAAACGAATTTAGGCCCTGAAACTCTGTGAATCTTATTCAATTTATATATCAGCCCAACATGATCTCCTTTACAATGTACAGTTGTCGCTTACGAAGATGGACCTGTATCCATTTTTTGTATATGTTATGATGCTCTTACCGGGAGCATGTCAATTGCTTGTTTTAATAATACTGCTGTCATGACAGGCCCGGAAGGAGGTGTTGAAAAAAATCCAAGCAATTCTTGATGAGAGGAGAGCGACTAAGACCGCGAATCATGGAGATGTGCTGGGGTCTCTACTGGAGATGCAAGATGAGAATGGTTCTCACTTGACTGATGAGGAAATCATTGACACTATGCTGGTGTTCTTGATTGCTGGTCATCAATCCTCAACTTTCTCTATAATGTGGGCCATGATCTTCCTTCAAAGGCACCCAGAAGCCCTGAAAGCATGCCGAGTAGGCCCGTCACCTTGACCGATAAAGAATGCAGTTCTGTGAGCATTTTCGCTTGGCGTCAGTTTCCACTAGTTGCAGAAAGTTGACGATGACCAAGTCCCATCTTTCTCTTACTGAATAAAATTGCAAATGTCCAGGAAGAACAGTTACGTATTCGAGAGGCAAGAGATCCAGGAGAGCCTCTTGCATATGCTGACTTCAGGAGCATGAATTTCCTCAATGATGTGAGTCAGTTCCGCCAGCATCGTACCTTCTATAGTTAGTGGTTTTGTTGTTGCGATGATGTAATTTGCGTCTGATCCAGTTCAATATTCTGGACTCTCCGGTCTGAGTATTCGTCCTGTTCAGAGTTAGAGATACGGGCTTGTAGCACTGGCAACCTGGCGATTCCGAAAGAAAGTTGTGTACTTTGCTGCGATCCTGGACTGTCAATGTTGCTAAAGTTGATCGTTTAATGTCGAGCATTCTGATAACGTCCAGCAGTCTGTGTATTGCAAATTCCTTTCTGACACGACTGTACCTACTTGTACCGACGGACACATGCAGGTGATAGACGAGACGTTGAGAATCGTGAATGTCTCTCCCTTTGTCTTTCGCAGAGTGACTGAAACGACTCAGATTGAAGGTATGAAGGGGGCGAAATTGGAGTTGACCTGGAGTTGATATTCGCTAAAAGATTGTATATTCTCAACTGATGTAAACCGAAGTTTTTTATTTGTCTACTTTTGAACGTTACTGGCAATTTAGGTCAGTCCTTTGTGCCCCGTTTGACCCCTTTAACCTGTAGACACCGACCTGTCTGCAGTCATAATAACCATTGCGAGGTCATTGCGGCCTCTTTTTTCTGCATTCAGTAATTCCGGAGTATTGTAATAAATTCTGGATACGAACGTAATTTACAACAAGAAATGGTTTGTAATCTTGCAGGATTTACCGTACCGAAGGGGTGGTTCGTAGAAAACTGGTTTAGAGCAGTGCATACGGACCCGGAAGTGTACCCCGAGCCCTATGCGTTCAAACCTGAACGATGGAAGGTAATTTCGAGAACTCCGATGTCCCCCTTTACTTAGGTTAAAAAAATTGGAAGATTTATGGAGGTGCTGGTCAAAGGAGAGTTAGAAAGATAGTACTAAATATTGAAGTGTTTGGTTGTATGCAGACATTCAGGCCCAAAGCAGGACAATTTTCGCCATTCGGTTTAGGCAATAGGAGTTGTATCGGCATCGAGCTCGCTAAGATGGAAATGTCTATTTTCCTCCACCTTGTTATTTTGGATTACAGGTAACCATTTAGGACTTCATTGGCGATCGTGTCTAGTGCAAGCAGCTGCAATGTAAGTCGGACAGTCAGTTTCACGCGCGTGTATGATTCATGATTTCCATTATTTCTGTGAGTATTATGCTAAACAAGGAACAGTTTGGAAGAACAATTTGTAGAAGAGCCTCTTAATGTGGAGATAGTGATTGTACAAGCTACGTCCTCAACTAACTCTAGGAGGTGCACATTCGTAAGGTCATCGACCACCGAATGGGCATAAATACCGTGGAGTCTTCCCGCTTAGGTACATGTATAACAGGATTCTGAGGCTTCTGATATGGTTTTTACAGGTGGGAGCCCATCCATCCTAATGCGCCTGTTCGGTATCTACCTCATCCTCAACCTGTGGATGGCTGTCTTATAAACTTCTCACGATTGTAGACTGTGGATTGCTGAAGGCATCTCTATCAGTTGGAGACAATTCGTCGACAATGCTTCTGATGGAAGCTCACTGGTTTTAGCATGACAGGTTTGTAAATAGCTGAAGGTGAAGACCCCGTTGTAAAGAAAGCAAATCTCGATTCATGTCGAATCTGTCTGAGACTTGTGGTACCTTCAAGATTTTGGACAGATTTCGATAGGGTCTTTCAAGGAGAAAGGTTTGGAGTCCCATCTTCAATTAGGAGACGTAGGACACCCTCTTATCCGTCCTGGATGACAGTGTAATAAACAGCTTAGATGTACTAAGGAGGAATGTGTCAAATCTTAACTACCAGTGTGGCTATCGGCTCTCATCTGATTTTCTAAAATGTATATTATATTCTGTACAACCAACGAAAGGTCGAAGTCATGAGAACCTTCCGTAATGCTGAGGGTAGCAGCCAACTTCAAAAATCATTGAACTGGACTCTTATCTGACTGTTTTCATCGTACACTATGTGGATACCACTTGCACTCGATGGTGAGAAGAGCTTTTCATGTGCACACAAACTCCCGTTCCGATATTCGTCAATGCTCTTTCGGGCCCCTGAATCCACAAAGGATTCTGCGAAGCGATCATTTAGGATTTTGATCATGAGTACCTTTGCAGAAAAAAGTTTTTAGGCTCAAACATGCGAGCAATCCAAGAACGTTCTTTCTGCCGAAAATATCTGCTGCACACCGAATCTCACTTCAATCATCACTTATGTGCTAATAGCAATTTCCTGGCAAGCTGGCGGTCATAATTATAAATCAAAGCACGTCCTCTCTGTGGTAGTGGCATTTGTTAAAGCCATTTCCGAGCTGATTCTACCTTCGTGACATTGCGTTGAAACTTTGTCATATCATTTAAACTGAACAAAGTATCGAGCAATTACTGTATGTCATAGAATTGATACCCTGTTGTAATGATTGTTGATCACATCGTTTGTACTGTGATTACTCTGTACACATTATCAACTAACAAACTATGTATATAGATGATTGAATAATCGAAACTTATGGAGACAATTAAGAACAGAAATACAAATAATGTTTCAAAATTGAAAAATGAAACGATATGTACTTTGAAATTAGGGAATAAGGTTACTTCGTCATTTATATACTTCTAATTTCATTTGATTATTCTTTAAGGCCTTTAAGGAAAGAGGAAAATTCTATTTCTTCTTACCGGGGGTAACCGCTCGTGGATTTAATGGAAAAAGGATATTTCTGGAATCGGTATGGAGACTCGTTGCTTCATACATCCGGTGACCAGTGATTTCTCTAAGTCTCTAATTCCATCCGTACACCATCACTTTCCGAATTACCCTGGCTCGGAATTCGAAATTCGAATGTTTGAATCGCTCTCCCTCTCTTTCTCCTTTCAAGTTTGAAAGCCTGTAAATTCTCCGGAACAGCTCCACGCCCGCGCTGCCGTTCTTGTTCATGTGCACCCTCCGCGTCGGCAGATTCCTTTCTTCCATTCTCACATCGAGCAAGGACGTGACTGCGCGTTCAGTTCACGTCTCTGAGCGATGCTTGAGCAGCGAACGCTCGTCGGGCTTATCGTCGTACTGGAGATCTCTCGGGGTGAATGAAGAATTCATCTCCGCTGATGGTTCTATCGTCTTCATATACATAAAAGCAGTCCATTCTTATTGGTATCTTGATGAGACACCGCCCCAGGTTTGAAGAACGAACTTGATCGGGGTGAGAGTGTGAGTGTAGACTGGAGATGTCATGCCGTGAGACTCTCAAGCAATGACTTTCACCCCATTCTTGTCCCATAATCCTTATGTCCTGTAGTGGTGTGCAGGAGTACCATATAGTGTATCGGTGATGTACTGATGATTCTTGTCTGCTTCTTTTCAGGATTTCGGAACCAACTTTGGGATAGGACCACTACAAGGAAATGCTGCCCATGTTTCTACCGTATGCACTCCTTTCAGGGAGTGTTCAAAGAGTGTACAGAAAGGAGAGGAGAGGAGAGTATAACCGCCCTTGGAAGCGGAAGAAGATACACATATAAAAGGACGAGACCGTGTGACAATTGGTATAATTGCCAAACTCACAATCTATATCTCGTCGTCTTCAATCGAATCCTGCGGTTAACATCTACATCCGTCCCGACCAGTTTTGGTAGTACGATAAAGGTCTCCAATTGGGGAGTGAAACCTCAAATCAACTCAATAGTCTACATTAAACCGAGCATTTCATTTTAGACCACATTTGCGTTTAATTTTGCACAACGGAAGTTGTCGAAGCATATAAGTTGCGGCATCAAAGTATAATTATGGTTGGTGTTCTACTGATGAAAGAATGAAGACAAGACTGACGAAAATTAGTTTTTTCACCAGGTGAGTTTTACATACCTACGCATACACTACTCATTTAAATGATGAAAAAATGAAAGTGACTCCTCTACTATTTAGGAGATAAATCCAAACCTTAAGCTCTAACCCAAAATTTTAAAATGCTTTTGTAAAGAAGAGGAGACACTTCATCTTTTTATAAGTTGCATGAGTTGCGTAGACGTAGGTATAGAAGAGTAATCTGGTCAAGAAATTGAATGTCACAGTCTTGTCTCCATTTTTTCACTAATAAAACGCCAACTTCTTTGATTGTTAGAATGACTGTTCGCGTAGTATAAGTTGATCACAATGATTAGAGTAGAATACGAACAATGCCTTTTTTACATTCTGATTGGAAGGCTGTTCGATTCACGACATTGCTACAGTATTTGTAGTGCCCTGTACTCAACAGATTGGTATACGATATGAATATAAACATTTCAAACTTCATACAAGAATTTACTGATGAATTGCAATTTTAGTTTGATGTCAGATAAAATAAAAAATACACAAGTTTCTAATTTTTTTGGTGGTTTTGTTGAAACTAGAACTTTTTCAGTATATTGCCAATATCTTAAATAGAGATAAATAAACTGAATATAGTCTGAATATGTTTAAGCCAAAGAAAGGGCTGTAAACAATTCTGAAACATTCGGATCGAAAGGAAAGAGCCTCATCTATTAATCAGACAATGATTACTCAAGAATATAAATATGAAACTCAACATTTTATTTTCTCGATTCATTTTGTTGAAAAACAGTTTTGAACAAAAAGTCTGCAATGTTCATTCAAAGTTCTGTGAAATGCCAGTAATGGTCACGCCCACGAAAAGTTGGGCCACCACATATCAATGCATTCCACCCCGCTGCAACAAACAATGAAACACTTTTTGGACTTTGAACAAACCTCAAACTCACATCACATACATTGGGTGAAATCACGAATTTCGCCTTGCATTCGCTTCAGCACCCAGAGTAAACGGTGGTTTATAAACAGCGTTCAGCTCAGTGATTGTGGGTGGAAATGCTCTTAAAAGCGGGATTACGTGCAGAACATCAAGCTCCATGAATTTCATGTTTTGCACTTAATTCTCTGCTTTGTTATAGGATCAGGTGGCTTGTGGCCCGACTGTGACTGGAGCTACACTAAACTGTGAAAAGTGGCACACAACTCTGTAGTTGCTATAGATCGCAGCTTGACCCTGCTCCTTTAGATCAGAGTTCCACTTTTATGAAACTAGAAGGTGTATACCATGGTCAGTGGAACCGGTGAAACCAAGTGGACGTTTTAAATACGGAATGGGACAGAGGGCCTTTCTAGGCTTGAGCGCTCTCTCTGGTAGAAGAGAAGATTGGGCTCGATGCCCGAACGTCTTCGTGCCCTCTGGAAACACTGTAATTAATACATCCAATTTGGTTCTTACGTTCCCCAAAATGTGTCAACATATCATGTTGACACATAGCTAAGTAGTCCGTATCAAAGCATAAGATCGGATCAAGAAGATTGTTTTCACATTTGCCTATGTTCTAAATGTTCGAACAATTGGGAGGTCAAGAGTTGAGCACTATTGGCGATTTGCAACTTATGTATAGCACGTTCTTATGTAAGCACGAAGGTTGCGCAGCGAGGTTTGCGGCGATTTTGGCTAGCGACGGATGCGTTGCCAATGTTGGAATGTTGTGGACGTGAAGTGAGGAGGAAGACATCCGGCCTGTTGATGATGCGAACGGTGGGCCATCACTGCGAGCGCCTTCGGCTGATAGGCTATCAGGCCTTCGACTGCACGATTCTCTGTCGGTCTCATGTGTGATGCCCCTTCTTCCGACCATGAGCTTGTTGGAGAGAGGTGAGCGAGTGCGGTGAGGGTGGCGGGTATGCACTGTTCGAGAGAGAAAGAAAGTGCAGGAATAATCGCACATAACACGGGGGGTCGATCATTTAGGTCTATGCGAGTGGTTGGACCGAGCAATGAACAACGAGCATACGTTATCAGACCAAAGCAAATCCTAGAAGACGTAAGGAAATATTGATATCTTGCCAAATCGTGTGAAGTGATACTTTCGATTCTGGTTGCGTTGGTACAAATCTTGAACCTAGGATAACTTAAATATGATGTGAATGTTTTTTGGATTTTATAAGTATCATACATATTAATCAAAACAAAGTTTCAAACTTAGATTCAAATTCTGCTGCCCTAAGGGACAGAAGTTGCAAAATCTAAAGATCTGACCAGACACAGACCAGATCTGTAACATGGTTGAAGTCTTTCGGTTGGAAGGTGGGAGTAAATATGAGCTATTTACTTGATTGGACTCCATCGGAACCTAAACTGCTTGATAACCATCAAGTTTCATTTTACCTGCTGCAACCCAAGCTAAGATGCACAGTAGGTGAGTTCTAATAAGTGTTCTTGTACAAATATGTGTATGTTCCATGGTGTTGTTCTCCACGGCCGAGTCGATCGACAACGTCTAAGATCTGGCAGCAATCAAGCAGAATAGGTCTCTGCTACTCGTCAATGTCTAGTGGCAAAGCGAACAAGTAATCTTGGACTTCAGGTTTAAATAGCAGCGATCACAGCACGAATTCATAGTTAGAGATCCACAACTATGAAACAGCGTCTAACATCGAGGTTCGCGAGCAGGAATGGAGCCAGGATTTTTCATGGGGGGGGGGCACATCTTGCTAGGTAGCGCCGCAGGCAAAATTTGCTTTGGCTACTTTTGTTACAAAATGTGTTAAAACCAAAACTCCATTACAAAGAATTCAAAAAAGTAGATTCAAACTGAAAAAAAACCAAATTCTCTATATAAATCCAACTGCACTGTGTTAAGACTAAAACTCATGTAACCCATAACAAAAAATTAAAAAAATAGATCCAAATTGTTAAAAATACTGTGTATTAATAATACTTCATTGTGTTACAATCAAAAATCCTGTCATACATGACAGACAATTCAAAACATAAAATCCAAACTGTAAAAAATCCAAATTCAATATATTAATCAAACTACAATGTGTTAAAACTAAAACTCCTGTCACATGTGACAGAGAATTCAAATAAGTACATCTAAACAATAAAAAACCAAATTCTGTGTATTAATCAAACTGCAAATGTTTAATGCTCAGAGTTTGAAATTTCTCAATAATAACGTCAATGATGATTCCTTGTGCTCAACAAACAAACTAATAGCGTTAGCAAGGTATACATCCCCCATTTTGTTCCTCAACCGCATTTTCACAATCTTTAATGCTGAGAACGAACATTTGGTTGACGCAGTGCTGACAGGTAAAGTTAAAGCCAAACTGATTAGTCAAAAAACAAGATGATAAGTAACAAACTTCTTGAGTTCAAACATATTTATAGCTAAAGTAGAAAGAAATTGAATTCCTAACAAAAGCTTCGTTTAATCTCAACTTTATGCAGAATTGCAAAATCTGTTGTTTTAACATCACCAAATCATATTGCTCAAAGTCATGTGGATACATCCGCCCAAGCTCAATTAGCTTTGAGTGATTTTCATGAATGCGAAGATGATCTGAGCATAAATAGGCAATTCGTGTGAGCAATACAAACGAACATTAAGAATAGCAGTCATCAAACTCTCTTAACTGTGAATCTACGATGTTGAAAAGGTCTCCACACGATAATAATGATCAAAGGTTATGTTGTCAGCATTGTGATAATAACGCCCGTAAGCACATAACTTGATTCCATATCATGGACAACGATGTTTTTTGCGAGACAAAAAGATTGAATAGCTCCATATATGGTCTTCCATCCTTCTTTCGATCTCATTTCTTGCAATTCATACTTTGAAACAACAACAAGGTTCATAGCATTGAGTATGTCTAGTTACTTATGTTGTAAAGCTTCCGAAACAACTGCAAACTTGCTTAAAACAGCCTTCATAATATATAACATTACAACAAAGTCAAAGCAACATATCGCTTTCAACAATCTGGACGCTTTTACTTTTGAATCTGTTTTAGTCGCATCTTCCACAATAATTTTAAGAATTTTTGACAATTGAATCATACTAATCAAGCATTCGACAAATAGAAACAAAATGAGTTCCCCATCTTGGTTTTCCTAGCTGATGGCTTCTGATTTAATCCACGACCTGTTATCTTTTCTTTGCCGACAATTGCATCACGGATGTTAGTTGCCTCCAATTTTTGAAACTAATCCGCAAGTTTACAAGAAGCATCTACCGTGACACATAATGATCACAATTCAACAAATAACCGGCAAACTTCGATATGATTCTTGACTGCCGATATCAAAGCAAGTTGAAGTAGGTGTGCAAAACAATGAACATAGTGAATTGAAGATACTTCTCTTTAGATCATAGTCTTCAACCTGTTAATGTCTCAACGCATGTTAGTAGCTCCATCATATCCTTGTCCTCGTACACGAGATAACGAAAGACCGTGTCGGCTCAAAGTGGAAACAATGGCAACCATCAACGATTCGGAAAGTGTATAAGCAACATGGATCATATCCAACAACTTCTCATGAATTACTCAAGAATTTTCAACAAACCTTAGAACCAAAAACATCTGCTCCTTTGTCGATTCATCTCGAGCCTCATCAATCAGCAAATAAAAAAAGCTATCACGGATTTGCTTCACAATATGTTCTAGAACACATGAAGCCATTGTCCTTAATATATCCTTCTAGATGTTTGGAGATGTCATCGTCGCATTCTTTGGTGCACGATTAAGGCAAACACATTGATAATTTGCATAATGCTTATTGAGAAGAATAAATAGCTCAAGAAAATTTCCACGATTGAATGACTCTCTAGACTCGTTATGACAGCAAAAAACAAGACCTTGATGTGCCAAAAATTGGATTGTCTCAATAGATGCTATCAATCAAAATCTATGATCAGCTTTTTGTTGTTTAGATTAACGATCTAGTGGCTTGAAAAACGTTGATCGGTAATGATCACCAAGCAATGAAGTGCAAAGAGTGAACTCAAATGTGTTTACCAAAATGTTTTGCCAATTTACAGTCTAATCCATTAATTTTGTTCTAGCTTG